GATCTGCGCCGCCTCAACTTCATAGGCACTCTAATGGACCGAAACTTCCCGCCCAACGCATTAATATTCCACCTCGAAGACGGCGTATACTCGTTCGACTTCCCCAACAAGATATCCGAGCCGAAGCAAGCGCCGCAAGTAGCCACATCGTCATACAATGCGCTCATGAAGCTAGCCAACCTCGAGAGTTCAATCGAAGACGCGATAGAGACACAACAGAGATTGATGGAAGAGATAAACCGTATACTAGACGAAAGCCCGCCTGATGATTCGCAAATGGCGCGGGAAGTTGTCGCGATGGCGGATAAATATGTTTCAGCGCAAAGACGGTCGAATAAACAGGCGCAAAAGAAGCGCGATGATTTGCAGGAGTCTATACGGAGTCGGCGCGAAGCGATTGCCAAGGGTAGAAAGCTTCAGAATGAAGCGGAGAAGGATATGGCGAGTAGTAGAGAGAAGTTGACGGCATCCGAGGAGCTTCTTGAGCAGACGCAGCAGCAGATTCGGGGGCAACGAAGACGTATTTGCGCCGACCTCTCGGACATTTTCCCGATTACCCCGATTCCTAATGCGCCGCCGCTTTCGTTCCAGATATGCAACATGCCACTACCGAACTCGATATACGATGCGGCTACTGCGAGGAATATCTCCGAAGACCTCTTGTCCGCTGGTCTAGGGATTGTCGCTCTGCTCACGAAGCACCTGCAGTTCTACCTAGCGCATCCATTACCATACCCTCTAGATTGGTTCGGCTCCAGATCATATGCGCGCGACGATATCTCCCAATTATCCGACCGGACAGTCTCGCGTCGAGAATTCCCACTGTATCTCCCAAGAGGAGGTTCAACAGCAGGTCAATGGCGCTTCGAGTACGCATGGTTTCTCCTTAACAAAGACATCGAAGCCCTCTGCTCATCCCAAGGTCTCCGCGTCGTCGACATCCGACACACCCTTCCGAACCTTAAATACTTGCTCTACGTATGCAGCGCCGGCAGCGACCAGGTACCAGAGCGCAAAAAGGGCGGTGTCCGTGGTTTGTGGGCTGGGAGGATAAAAGGACGCATGTCCACCATGTCGGCGCAGTTCGACGGCGACTCGGGTAGTGTTACAGAGAGCCGGAGGGGCAGTGCAGATAGCGAGGTCAATCAGAACGGTGATGTGTTACGGGATGCGATTATTAAGAGCAATGGACATAATAAAGATGAGGCGCGGGAGAGTTTGAATGATGGGGTCTCGTTGCCTTTTGGGGAGGGGGATGCCAAGTTTACGCTGCGGACGAAGGGCCTGAGGGAGAGGAGATGAGGGACAATTGGATGGGTTTGGCGGTTGTTTGTATTTTGTTCAGCGAGGTGCTGTTGGTGTGCTTTGGAGTTTATAGAAAGGTAAGCTGGTCTCTGTATAGGATACGCATCAGACTTCGTTTGTATCTCTCTCATCAGATGGTTCAACTTCACGTCGTTCGTGTTCGTCGTTGGCCCTCACGTAAACCATCTAGCAGCCCTTTGTTGTTCCCGCATAAACCGGACAGACCTTCGCCGAACTCTCCATCTTCCATGCCACGAGCTATCCATCGGCGAATGTGTCCCCGTCTCAATACCACATCAAGCCATCTTAGGACCTGTCAAACGCATCATCTGGCCGACCGATCCCTCGAACCAAGGCACAACAACCGTCATTTACCCTTGAGTGCCGAAGTACACCCGGGTAGTTCGTCCCAAAGCATGCTAGAGCTGCAGAAATCTGAAGCTATTCAGGGATGTTCCCCGCAACCCCAGAGTCCGGAGTGTGGGGGAGACCCCATATTCGGTCGCGGCGCCGAGGGCCGTACTCGGTGCCGCTGGCCGCTTTCAAGGTAAGTGTGGTGTAAGTGCTTCGATGTGGAGAGTATATATATCTCGTTTGGGCCCGTGAGAGGGATCTGCAGACTTGGCAACGATGTTGGGCTCTTCTCTTATTCTGGCTTGGGCGGTTGCTGTGGGCGCTGCTTCGGTACCACGGAATAGTCCTGTTGTTGAACTTAGGAATGGTTCCTACTATGGCGTTCATAACACTGCGTATAACCAGGACTTGTTTCTTGGTATGAGATATGCTCAGGCGCCACTGAACGATCTGCGCTTTCGACATCCCCAGCCCTTGAACTCAACCTGGGACGGAGTGCGTAATGCGACCGAGTATCAATCCAAGTGTTATCAGTACGGGTATCCTTCGGGACCTCTTTCAGGTGGCACTGACGACTGTTTACATCTGAATGTCGTTCGCCCGTCTGCAGCTGCGAAGGAGAAGCTACCTGTCCTTGTCTGGATCCATGGCGGCGGCCTTGTCGGAGGCTACAGCGGTGATCCCTCCTCGAACCTCAGCTACATCATCGACGAGTCTGTGAAACTAGGCTTGCCCATCATCGGCGTCTCAATAAACTACCGTCTCGGAGCATGGGGCTTTCTGTGGAGTTCTGCTGTCAAGGCCGCAGGTGTTGGAAACAATGGCTTCCGCGACCAGAGACTTGCTCTTCAATGGGTCCAAGAGAACATCGCAGCGTTCGGGGGTGATCCCCAAAAGGTCACCATCTGGGGTCAGAGTGGAGGAGCACGAAGTATTGCGTCTCAATTGACTGCTTTTGGTGGCAGAGACGATCGGCTGTTCAGAGCAGCTATTCTCGAGAGTGGTACTGGCTTCCCTACAGCATTTGGAGAGGTGGAGAACAAGGACGCACCAACCTTTGAGAAGGGATACAAGACGCTCCTCAAGAGGACCAACTGTGATTCTGCGAAGGATTCTCTGCACTGTCTGCGAAAGGTGCCGTCACTGGAACTCGCTCAGATCGTGGGCGATGTCTCGTTCCCCGTTTGGCTCGATATTATCGACGGCGACTTCATTCGGGATAGTCGCTCAGAGCTCCTTCGACATAATAAGTTCGTTCCAGTTCCCATTATCAACGGAGTCGCATCAGACGATGGAGACTTTTTTGCCCAGCGTGGCATCAACACGACACAGGAGTGGGAAGCATATCTACGAAAAGAGGGCGCAAGCAAAGCTACGATCGAAGCCATCTCAGCTCTGTACCCTGATATTCCACGCGTCGGTCTGCCAGCGACTTTCGAGGGACGCCCATCAGGCCCATTGGCTTCATATGGATCGCAGTGGAAGCGCGCGGTAGCCTTTGGCGGTGATCGAGCTATGCATGCACCCAAACGAGCTTGGAACAGGAAATGGGCCAAGAGTAATGCCACTGCGTACAGTTATCACTTTGACGTTGTATCAGGTGATCGCCCAGCAGTCCAAGGAGCTGGGCACTCGGTCGACATCCCATTCGTCTTCCGCAATTATGAAAGATTGGCTCAGCTGAACGCAACGGAGCCGAGACCTGGGTCGTTTGACGAGGTGGCTGTTAAGATGTCAAGAATGTGGATTAGCTTTGCGAGCAAGATGAACCCCAACTTTGAAGGTATGGGAGATGTTGAGTGGCCTGAGTATGAGTGGGATGGAGGGAAGAATATGGTTTTTCATATTGATGATTCGTCTGTGGTTCATGTTGAGAATGACACGTATCGAACTGAGCAGATGGAGTATTTGGATAAGAAGCTGTGGAAGGTTGGGCTTCAGTCGGGACTCGACTAAGGACGGGAAGCATGAGATAGTCCAAGTTATCAGAGCCTGTTCATTCATGCTGTTACTCCTGTATATTGGCAGCCTAAACTTTAGGGTCATGCATGAAAGTTAGACTATCTTAGAGACTTAGGTTAAGGCCCTATATTCATCCTAAACCTTTGTCATTCATTATCTATGTTCGCAGCCTAAAGCTTAACCTTATGGGCCGCCGTTATCCATAGTCATCCTAAGCCTGGCCTGTTTTATGAGAAACTTAGATGGTGGGCTAGATGTGATGTCTGTAGCACAGGCCTGGGGCTCGTTGAACTTGCTGGCAGACAGAAATTAGATGACGTAGATCTAGGTCTGTTTATCCTGAGGACAAAGAGTTCTTTTACTGCTACGGCATGATATCCTCGTCCAAGGTCTCAGCCAGACAAAGAAATGCCCTCGAAAGACTTGGGCATCCAACAATGTCCTTTGTCAAAGACATATCCTGACAAATCCCATTGTCATTTCTAGAGCGTACTGTCTAGCCCGCCGGTGATTGCTGCCACGAGAGGCAAATAATTGCTGGCCATAAGGATAAACCTTGGACTAGGTTCTCTCTGCCGGNNTTAGACATCGATACCACGATGAGATAAATCTTGGACCACCAGTCCAGAAAACAACATTCTAGTAGGCTTTTGTCACTGTTATGCCTGAAATGATTGCTACATACTGCAACAATCAGAGATCCAAACTTCACTTAGGACAAGGCAGGGGGAAGTAGTAGTTTCTCCCTTTGCTCAGTGCTCGTGCAAGAAACAGTTGTTCTTTTCCCCATAAAGAGACAATAAAACTAGCTTCATCCTTCACCTTGCTTCATAAAATAAGGGAAAGATCGCAGTCCAAGCGACTTTGCAGCCAGCAGTTCAATGTTAGCTCTTTGTCCGGGTGTCCAGCTTGAATGGACGGCTACAAATCATCAGATGACCAAAGATTTGGTAAGTTGACCTAAAGTCTTTGTGCGTAATAGTCAGCAACTAGTATACAATACTATCAGAGCTCAAAGGACAGATAGAGGATTTCTAACTAAACAACTTATTGCTCAAGCGATATCCTTTATTTATGACCACTTGGCTTCTATTCGGTGACCCCGTAACAGACCGTAAACTATTTGCAGTTGAGACTTGTGGNNTCCGGCAGAGAGAACCTAGTTTGGTATTTAGCGCCTAGCAGAGGATGCGACTGAGTTTATTCAGCAGGCATATAAAAAGACAAGGCCTCTTGCATAAATTATTCCTATCAAGCTTCTTAGACTCTTGACACTCACCACCTCACCTCACCTCACCTCACGAACGACTTATTATTCCGGCACATATAACCACCCACTCTGCTAACTCACCACTATTTTCTCTATAACGCTGTCGACCATGAATTCCATCGATGATGTCCGATGTGGTATTGAGAGGCTAGATTCGTTCTCGAAGGCTTTGGCTGAAGCACAGCACAATCTTGGTGGAACGGATCGCTCTGACTATTCTGCAGCACAGAGGGAATTATTGAATAACTTGTACGAAGGATATGAAAGTGCATACGTTTTGTTGGGCTGGTGGGACGTTGGCTTCACAGACTGGCGTATTTTGCCCGTGAGTCTCGCACGCGGCTATTTATATTCGCTTGATCGGGAGCTTCAAGAGCTCATGCCGCCTGACGATCCGAGGTACCAATACGTCACCTACGAGTTCCACGTTCTGAGGTTTATCGCCCGCGAATGCGAGAATACTATCCTGCGCAGCTTTCTTCGCTGGGCCATCATTGGAGCTCACAAGCCCTCGAGTGCCGTCCATTCTCTCTTACAGATGCATTCTTCTGCTGATGCAGTGGAGTATACGGTGCCCAAGCCCGAGCCCGAGCGTGAGATGAAGGTGGTTCTTGTCCGTGTGACAGACGTACTCAAGTTGCTGGATCATTGGGGCCAGCGTGCCGTTTCCGGTCCCGGTGAGGAGGAAATGGTGGAAGTATGCAAGTCCAACAAGTCCAACTTTTGCAAGCCAAACTTTCACAAGTCTATGACTAAGGGGCTTTTTGTTCTGGCGTGGAAGGTCCCGGGAGATTTTGAGGATATGTAGATGGACGGCCAGGGGTTTGCTATTCCAGATGTTCCTGAGTTGATCTAGTTTTCTTGCTGGACAAGCAAAGCTTACGCAGAACGACGGGCATTGGTGAACATGAGCAGACTGGTAGGGATACAGAGTAGGATGGGTGTTTAAGTACCTGGATTGCCAGGGCGTTTAGGTTTAGCTTTTTGTACTTTAGGTAGCAGAATAAAAAAAAAAAGACATGCAGGCCATGTATACATAACCTTGGGTCCTTACCTCATGAGAGTTGCAGCGCAACACTGACATTGTGCAGGAGAAACTATTATTTGTACATGTGACCAACAGCAATCACATAAGGTGTTTAGTTGAGTCCTACATTCACGTCGGTCCGATGTCACGCGATAACTCCGTGTCCCGGAGAGTGGGGGTAGCCCGAATAGTGGATACTCCCGTTCAGCCTTAGTAACCTTATCATCAGACTACAGCACAATATAAACATGCTCTCCCTTCATCACGAAGCTGTCAGTCAAAGGACTTGATACAGAGGGCATTTGCGCTGACAAATTACAACAACTGCCGAACATCGTCACTGATCCTTCTGTTCTTGGCGCGAGGGCTGTGCTTACAATCCCTGTCGCCAACACCTGTCAAAAACTTGGCACAGCTTGAGGATCAGCCCCCAAAAGGTGTAGGGCTTGTCTGCTTCGGGAATTCGAGTTACAGTAAGGCTGGGGCTCATTTCCCCTTAATTTTCGTCTGTTCTTTCCGTGGTTCCCTCAGGTGCGGGCGTTACTGTTAGGTTGTGAGTTGTGAATAGCTTCAACCCCGACAGCGACAGAGTTTGGTATCATTTCTAGAATTAATTAAACTACATTCTATTCATCATTAGGTATTCCTGCCGGCCTCAAACACCCCCCTCGACTTGTTTAATTGTCTAGCTCCGCGTATGCGTACCAATCGTCCTTGAAACCCCAATTGCTCCCCTACCATCAAATTAGCATCGGATCATTACAAAGCGGGATCAGAGAACTTACCTGCGCCTTGGAATTATTCTTCAACCAGCAGTTTGCGTTCAAACCGTCTAATTCGTCCTTCATACGCTTCGAAAAGACGATGCTGGCGCACTTCACTCCGTTGCCGGTTTCGGCGTCCTTATCGATCATGTTGCCGCAAGCCTCCATACAGTCTTCAATCGTGTATGCATATATGGGTGCGTAGTCGGCAACAATACCTCCTCCCTCGGCCGGGGTGCCTTGTGCTGCATTGACGCCGCACCACCACTTGAACTCGTAGCCTTTGTTGGTCTTGTACCGTGTCTCGTCTTTCTTGGAATCGGGGCACTCTAACTCCAGCAGGCTGACCGTATCGGCAGCTCTCGGCACATAGGGAGCTGTGTCGTTGACTGATGTGCTGTTGTCGGGCGTTGGGCATGAGGTCACGGTTGGTTCTGCTGTCGCGGCGGGAGCGGTACCGGATGCCGAGTCCGCTGAGCAGTCACTGCTATTGACATGTCAATATCTAAGCATAATTAAGCAGATGCAAAGATTAGACTTACGATTTATTTGCCAAAGCAGCTCCCAATCCCCCACCTACACCTGCGCCAACAACGATAGCCGTACATAGTGCGACAAGCGCAGCAAAAGTCCAAACTCCAAGTCCAAAAGGAATCCTCACTCCATCCGATGACGCCTGCTGAGGATGATGATAGCCGGGAGGGATGTAGTAATTGCCGTTATCGTAGCCAGGAGCTACCTCTGGAGCTTTGGCGGCTTGTTCAGCGTCCGTGTTGACCTGGAGGCCTTCACTATCCGGGAGATGCTGTTGTTGACTCATTGCGCAACTCAAGACGATCAGGAACCGCTAACGAAACAGTAAATGAAAAGGAAGAACCAAGAGACAGGGAAAGGGAGCGGATCAGTCAGGCAGGATTAAATGGGGGCGCAACATGGAGCCTTTATAGCGACGATCCTTTTCGCTAAGCCTGGTTTCAAAATGGTATTACAGGCTACGATCTGTAAGCTGACCGCATCCAATCCGCAAATCATGGTGCATTTTGGCCCCCATGTTCTCGTTGTCGTAGCATGGCCTAATAATATCCCTGCGAGGTGAGTGGGTTAAAATCCCGTTGGAGTTTGGACTGCGAATTCGGAGTAAAGCTTGAGATCTGGGCAGGGGTAACAAGCTTTTCATCCATGAATCAGATGACGTCTTGGACACCAGGTTTGGCGAGGTGAGAGGGATATCGTGGGCAAAATACGCGGTACTTGAGTTTTCAGCCCTGTGTTGGGATCCATTTTAAGGTGCCGTCTTGGGTGACATTCAGAGGGGCATTTAGTGGCTCTAGCTTGTCGGGGTAGCATTGATACAACACACACAGCCTGAATGGCATGAGTTTTGTCTGGCGTCAAGGGCAGCAATTTCCCGTAGTCAGAAATAGCTGTGGAGTGTCCCAGTCTATTGTGTAAGTATGAACTGTTGAGGCATCTTGCACACTAAGTTAGCAAGCTACACAATAATTCTCCGACCAAGTCCTGTCGCTAATCACGGTGCCGTCTTACCCTGACGGGAACCTCCGAGGGATGTCTCGTTTCAGTGCATGATTGATTGACCAAACCCAGCCTCCACTCGGGCTGCTGAGCCAAAACTTACGACGGGTTGCTGTTGGAGGCTGCAACATAAATTTGTGACCTTTGACATTGCATCGATGTTTGGCACAGGAATTTAATTTTGGGAGATTTGCCATTTTTTAAGGCTTTGTGCATATTGCCTTCTGAAACTTGACGTTAATCGGAACTTTTCAGTGTATTAGCTTGACATATCTCGTTGAGATGATATAAGCTTTAAACATCAATCAATGGAGCCAGTCTTGGTTGGGTTATATTTATGCAGCCTTGAGCTTAATCAGAATATGGTATATTATTCCATCACGCCGAGAAAACTTAGATATTTAAACTCAGCATCATAGACATATAACTAGCTGTCTTTATCCAGCCCAGCACCATCTCAATTTTCAACAAACATATTCTTCTAACCCTCAACCTCAGAGATAAACATCGCCACGCGGATATCAAAACCCTCGACAAACAGAAAGCCCATAATGGTACATCCATCTCTTCAGCAAAGAGTTCCCCTCTCGCGGTCTGAGATTCTAATCCACACTCGCGGTCTGATGGAAGCATGTCATCGCGCAGGGATCCATGAGAGCTCAGTGTTTCGGCCATTCCTGCTATGCCCTTATCCTCCCAACACATGTACTGGCTGTAATTATAAGCACACGGAGGACCTTAGTGTTCACCACGCCGAGGATCGCTGTAACAAGAGTGTGCCGATATACATCATTCCGAGTCAGGCGCGAATCATGCCGGGTCAGACGCGAATGCATTTCTTTCTTTGCAAAGCCTTACACAACTGGCTCTATCACAAATGGTACAGGCTATACCAAAGTGATATCGACTATGGACAATTTGTGGCCAAGTTCTTTATCCCTATTGATTTCCGCCCTGGTCATAGATCAACGACCTCCCTGGTGAGTCTGATTAATCACCTCAATGCTAGAGTTTGCAGCAAGGTGGCATCCATCCAGGACTATGTCCAGAAATGTCCTGTTGGACCGAGATATAGCAGCAAACAAACATTCAGAGACCAGCGGTTCTACATCATGCAGCCGCTTTTCAAAGCGATGGCGATCATTCTCCTAGCCGAGGAATTCGATATCCGAATGGTCGGTGTTGGGAAAATGCCAGCTCTTCTTACCATCACAGGCGAAGAACGCGGGTTGAGTCGGCCACTATCTTTCGATTCTATCAAGCATGCAGTAGACAAGGTGAAATCCGAAACAACGGTCCAAGTACGTTTGAACGTGGCGATCGAATTCGTTATGGCTCAGCAAGAGCGAGAAGTCACATTCTTTGGCCCGCAACCCGACCCTGTCGAGGCAGCAAAAGAGCTGGAAAGTCGTACCCGCTGCTACATGCACGAGTTCCGAGAATTCGCGAATCAGCTGGGCTGGTCTGGAGAACCTCTTGGGGGCCCAAGTTCGACGTGGCTTGATCCTGCAATTCACACAGAATGGCTCGGAGAGGGTGCAGATGCAGATGAGAGGCTTAGAAGCGTGGAGGGTGATGGCAAATGGAAAGTCCTTCTTGAGAATGCCGGGCTAAACCCTAACATACGCCGAATTCAACGTCGAAATAGCGTATCTTGATCGGTTTCTGTTACGCTTCGACTAGATAGTGGATTCTTTACATTCAAGCTAACGAATAAAACACGACCTGTCACTGTTCCAAGCAAGTGCTCGGACCTTTCTGTAAAATGTCCTTCGTAGAAACCACGGGATGGCGGAACCGATTCTTCACAATAACCGAATGAAAGGGCCGGAATGTTAGTTGAATTGAGGTCTTGGCAGTAGGCAGACATGAAGATTTGAGACAGATGGAAGATGATGTCAGCCCGCTTCCAACATTGGCCAGGGTGCCAACCTGACCCAGAGGCCCTTTGGGATACACTCAAGGTACTTGAGCCATTTGAACACTAAGGATAAAGGTTCTCAGTTTCATTACATTCTCTCGGCTGGTTGTTTGGTTGATTGACTGTAATGCAGGCCAAAGGTCTTGACAAACAATACGCCTTGGTCAGACACAGCATAGTCGAACACACCTTAGCTAATTGGGATAGCCGTTCTGAGTAGAACGTTGCCTATCGCCCAAGTGATGTGTGCATAGCCCCAGGCTGATTCCCCAACCAGATCTCACTCTAGGCATCTTTGCATCACCGCCCTTTATTTCTTCCGAAAAAGCAACATTCCTGTTTCGCTGAGTGTTTGTCTTTTCTCCTCGCTTCCAGCGACTTATTGAGTCCCTTTGCCCTCGCGCTCAGCTCAGCTTGTTTGTCCCGGAATCCGGCTCTGGCATCAAAGAAAATGAGGCAGCCTGTTTACAAACACCAGCCTGTTTACAAACACCAGCCTTTGGCTGACCCCGCTGGACAGATTCGGCTGATCGAAGTCACCTCCAAGCCTCATCAGCCTCTGGAATTGTCCCTCAGAACTCACCAAATACCTCAAGCCCCCGACTACTATGCCATCTCATACACATGGGGAGACAGCGGCCTCACCGAAGAGATCACCATCGATGGCCAGCCAATGACGGTGACTGAGAACTGTCATTATGCTTTAATGCAAGTCAGGGATCGTTATCCGTCGCCCCCCAGAAACGCTATCATCATTTGGATTGATTCCATCTGTATCAATCAGGGCGACAACTACGAGAAGTCCTATCAGGTTGCCATGATGGGCGATATATATACCAAAGCATCTAAGGTGTTTTCCTGCGTCGGGCCTCATCGAGATAACAGTCAAATGATTCGAAATACCTTGGACAGTATCAAGAAACTGAGCCCAAATCTTTACCGGCCTTCGAGAGCAATTAGCGTTGTCAGACTCTAGGGATGGCTATTGTACTTCTCTACACCTTGAGCTCGATCAATTTCTAGAACGGTTCCTCCCAGATTCACCAATATCAATCCATGAATTTCATGACCAGTTCATGGACGCTTTTTCTGCATTTGCCAAGCGGCGGTACTGGGGTCGACTTTGGGTCATCCAAGAAGTTGTGGCATCGACTAGAAGCAATGGTCAGTTGGAAATAATTTGCGGCTGCGATAGCTTCTCAAGGTCTGAGATCATTTTGTGCGACTTCATCTGCCGTATGACGAAGCAATACCTTATGGATGCTTTGAAGCTAGGTTCTAGTGAACGACTTGGGTTATATTGTTGTCGATTCGTCTTGGGTTCACATGCAGCGTTGCCTATACCTGCCACAATGCTACTCGACAGGTCATCGCCTTTCCGATGCGCAAAGCTTGAGGACAAAGTCTATGGGCTATTACCTATGATAGAATGGCCAAAGGGTATCCCACCTGTTCAGCCTATTTATGAGCCCTCTCCTATTTTGGACCTAGCGCAGTTATTCACAAGCATCGCAAAATCGCCGAGGATAGATATATGGCATGTTCTTAACGCACTCGAGCTTTCACACGATCATAAGCTCTTGAGGCCCATCGTGGAAGCTAGAATGAAGAGCCCGCCCCAGCCCCTTGGTCGCGGCAAGTACCCACCGATGTCGTTCAAATTCAAGGCTACGTTCATAACAATATTTCAAAACACTCGCGGTCAGCTTTCTGCTGGTCTGGTTCGTAATCATTATCGACTTCCAAAAACTTCAGACCAGATAGAGACCGAATGTAAAGGGGCTCCTGAAGGAACAAGACACCTGTTTTTTGGTTCTGAAATTTGTGCATTACTCTGCTGCGATGCTCAAGAAGGCGACCGAATAATCAAGGTACCAGTTATTGGTGAACTACTGGTATTGAGGCGCAATGTGGAAGAGAACGGATATGATATTATTGGCCAAGGCCTGCTGCTTTCCAATTACGAGGTTCCATCTTGCCCTTCGATGGTATCGATAGAAGACGAGTTCAAGGAGAGCGAAGCATATGGGGGCACGAATTTCGCATCCTCCTGTCAGATCGAAACCGAGCCTATCGAGTTTATAGTGTTGGAGCGGCAGGATCGCGGAACCGAGGGGTCACGCATTGAAGGGAGGAAATTGGAGAGATTGGCTACTAAGATATATGGCACAGTCAGGCTGAGTGATTAGCCCTGTTGAAGATACTCCATAATAGGATCGAGAGGCTGCATGGCATGATGTATGTGAGCAAGAGGTCGATGACAATTTGACAGTTTGTCATTACAGTCTTCATAAGACTGCTATAAATGGCGACTTCTTTTACCCAAGTTCTCTCTGTCTAGGAAAAACATTTCACGTCGACATGGTGATACTGCCTCGGATCTTCAGTTATAATATTTCCAAGACATTCAGAGACTTCAATCACGTAACGTCCTGACATCAGTCCGACAGTAATTCTGAAAGCGTGACACAATCAAAGTGGTCATAATGCGGAAACCGAAAACTGCCCGCCGTCAGGATAAGCACCATAAAAGTCTAAATATACCACAAATACATCCCGCGATGCTTCATATTCATACTTCACTGTATGTCTCTTTGTTTCACCGCATCAAAATCCATCCTTCAATCCCAATTCTGGATCCTTCACTTGGCGAGCCTCCTCATGACGCATCGTGTAGCCTAGAGCCAACGACGATCTTCACAAGCTGAGAACTAAAGCTGGGCGCCAAGGCGTTGGCCACCAAGGCAGAGCTCATTCTCTTCGCCAACGCCTAAGTCCACTTTCCATATCAGGCGAAATATACCGCTAGCGAGGCTCGGCTGTTGAGCCACGGATTAACGCGTCCTGGAAATGGGGATTTGGTTGGGCAGTGGAGTCTGGGCAGTTCCGTCTCTACGTACGACTAATCCTTGGCTTTTGCCGAGAAACATAGCCTTCATTGGGTCAACAAACAGGGCAGTGCCGTGATGACAGACAAGCAGGCTGAAATTCATACAGATTTATGCTTAAATAGAATGAGGACATCCCGGAATTGAGATGGTTGCATACCGCATTCTCGTATCAATTCCTTTACCATGAAGTTTCAAACTGTTTTTCTGAGCCATCTTCTTCTCCATGCAGCACAAGCCTCATCCATACCAAAAGATGTTTCCGCTTCTTTGAAACCCAGAGATGACCTCAAGAACTCAAACAGCTCCAAGATCGATTGGTCAGAATGTGACTTGGACTTTGGAGACAATTCGACAAACAGCCGCCAGAGAAATTACGACTGCGCCAGACTCTCTGTTCCTCTGGACTACACGTCTGCAAGCAACGGCGAAACCATCAAACTCGACCTGATCAAAGCCAAAGCCACCAGGGAACCCTATCTAGGCAGCGTTCTGTACAACCCCGGCGGTCCCGGTGGTTCAGGCGTCGAGGCCATCGTCTGGTCGGGAAAGGAACTTGCCGAGTAAGTTGCCTTGGTGAAATTGTATTTTCAATGCTGACATGCATCACAGAGTTCTTGGCGGACAGTATGATGTCATTGGATTCGACCCCCGGTAAGCTCAGCCTCTTCCTTATTCTTGGTGCTATGTAACACTAACAATGTGACTCAGGGGAACAGGTCGTACAATTCCTTTCATCTGCAATGGAACCGGTCCTGGCACAAGCACAAATCTCACAAGTGCAAAGGGTCTTCGTCGTAGAGAGTTCAACACGATTCCGCAGGCTGACACATGGGAAATTGTCAGAAACCAGACTTGGGAACTCGCTGGTACCTTGGCAGAGAATTGCTATGAGAGTCGACAAGATACAGGGCGTTTCGTTGGAACGCCCTTTGTCGCGAGGGATATGATCTCTATTGTTGATGCGTTAGGTCAGGGACCTATGCTTAACTACTGGGGTGTCTCTTATGGCACTATCCTGGGCCAAGTTACTGCTTCCATGTTCCCTGAGCGTATTGGCCGCATGTTGGTTGATGCCAACTTGAAGGCCGACGACTATGCGGCTACAACGTGGATCTACAGCATGAGAGATGCTGAGCGATCACTTTCCAACCTTCTGGACGAGTGTGTTGCATCCGGAAAGGACCTCTGCTCTCTCGCAGACTATCACGGAAACGGTACCACGGGCGAAAGCCTCCTCACAGAGTTTAGCGAGATGCTTGAGGGTTATCTCAACGGAACTCTCCCCGGCGGCGACGTCGATGAGGAAGACCTCCCAAGCGATGATATAAACCTGCTCGTCATCACTTACAAAAACCTCATCTTTGGAGAACTCTACAGCCCTATAAATTACCCCAGCATCATCAACCGCATCGAAGGTCTTTTCAACAATAACCTCACAGCGATGTTCGAGATGAGGAATGAAAGCTCGCTGGAAAGCGAGTGGAACATCGCCGCCGAGTTCGTCACCAACGGTATTGCATGCAGCGACTCTTCGTTCCGAGTTGAGGACCAGGACGATTTATTCTCGATCTTCCAGGCTCATCGCGCTGAGGGATCCTTCTCTGAACTGGGAACTGTCGCAAGACTGTTCTGTGCGCAGTGGAAGTTTTCTGCGACGGAGCAGATTGATATCAACAAGCTGAGGAATGTCAAGACAAAGAACCCGCTTCTTATCGTGAATGGACGATATGATCCTGTTACACCTTTGAGTAGTGCCTGGGGCGTGTCCGCTCAGTTCCGAGGAAGTCGAGTTGTGGTTCACGAAGGTGTCGGTGTAAGTATTCCCCATGTACCAGAGTTGAATGAAATAATTGCTAACTAAGCTTATAGCACGGACTGATGGCGCACCCATCGAACTGTACGCAAGAGATTGTCAAGAACTATTTTGTAGACGGGGAGATGCCCAAGCTCAACACTACTTGTCAGCCTAATGAGCCTGTGTTTGAGTATGCAGCACTATGAGGAAAAGGGCACAGAAATAGACAGAAGATAGAGAGGCAGGCGGTTGACGAGATGTTTGTTGCCAATGTAACCCTAAATTTGGTTAAATGCAGAACTGCCTGGTACATACTTAGCTTCAACTGCAAACTTGACTTAACTCAATTGTGTTCTTGCATCCTGAGTCCTATATGTTCACCTTTACTGGTTAGTACTCATAAAGCTGTGGCGTATCTTTCTAATATTTCCTACTATGACTCGGGCGATTCGCCTACGGTTCGCCTAGACGCCCATTTTCGGGGTTTGGATTGTCGGAATCTGTCCCCGAGAGCTTCGGAAGGGTACCGGCTAACTTTAGAGGAGAAACATTGACTACCGCGGGGGATAATTCCTAAAGCGGTTTCTCAATACTAATTGAACAGTCTGGTCTAAAATAATCCTAAGCTTTTCCTAAAGTCTCCTAACTTTGTGATGAATTTATATAAAGTGTTAGAATCTTGCCTAAGAAGCAGCTTCGGCCCCGCGACTATGGTGCGGTGTAAGCAAAGATGACATGACTCGGGTAAACGTCCGGAGGATTCAGCATGAATAATCCACACTTCCTCCACACTATATGACTCCCTTATTCCTCTCAACCCTCACTCCTGCAAGGTCTTCTATCACAAAATGTCAAAATCAACTTTATCAGACTTGGTAAACCAGCATCGGCCCGACCTTCACTCGTTGGAGGAGCTGTACAAGCATCTCCATCGCAACCCCGAGCTCTCCAACCAAGAAGTCGAAACAGCTACGACTATAGCCAAAAGACTCAAAGAGATTGGCCCGGATGATCTCGTCATCAAGCCTCATATTGGCGGTCATGGCTTAGCTGCCGTTCTCCGCAATGGTGAAGGGCCCACTGTCTTGCTTCGTGCAGACATTGATGCCTTGCCAGTTGAGGAGACTACAGGCCTAGAGTATGCAAGCACCAAGCGCATGATTCATACTGCGAGCGGGGTCGAGAAACCTGTTATGCATGCTTGCGGTCACGACATGCACATCGTGACATTGCTAGGTGCTGCGGCAACTCTTTTCTCGTCCCGGGAATCTTGGGCCGGAACCTTGGTGCTGGCATTTCAACCCGCCGAGGAGCGCGGTACTGGTGCGCAAGCAATGGTTGATGACGGTCTTTACACCAAGCATGAGGTTCCTGTTCCAGATTACGTTCTGGGAGCACATGTGAGACCCTTGCGTGCTGGCACGATTGGTACACGAAGAGGTCTTGTTGCCACGAGCGCGGATAACTACAAGGTCACCATCCACGGCAAAGGTTCGCACGCGAGTATGCCCCATACTGCCATTGATCCAATAGCCATTTCAGCGAACGCTATTCTAAAGCTGCAAACGCTTGTTAGTCGAGAGGTTGACCCAGCTGAGTCAAGCGTGGTGACCGTCACGAGTATTCAGGCCGGCGATGCTGAGAATGTCATCGCCGACTCGGCCGTTCTTGGCGTCGACACTCGATCTACTACCATCACCACCCGCGAGCGTCTTTTGAAGCGCATAAAAACAGTCATCGAGGCTGAGTGTTCGTGTGCCAATGTCCTCAAAAGTCCAGAGTTTGAGCAAACCCGAGCTTTTCCTCTGACGATCAACGATGAAGCTGTTACTAAGAGAGTGGAAGAGACATTCGCGGCGCACTTTGGCGAAGGGCGTGGGAAATATGATAGAGATATGCCGAAATTGGCCTTCAGTGAGGACTTTTCGATCTTGGCTACTGCTGTGGATAAGCCTTATTGCTTTTTTACGTACGGGTGTGTTGATGGAGAGATTTGGGATAAGGCTGAGAAGGAGGGGACTGTTGCGCAGAGTATTGCTGCGAATCATTCTTCCAAGTTTGCTCCGGTGATTCAGCCAACGCTCAAGACTGGGCTAGATGGATATGCGTTGGGTGCTCTCACATTTTTAGCAAAGGGACAATAGGTCACAGCTTGAACTAAATATCTATAACGGCCGTGTACCTAGACAGGCAAAATAATTCGATTGGTGTAAACTGAATCGTCACTGACATGAGTATTTTCGAGAAGTGATACACAATAGGAAGATTCCGACATAATACAGTGTCTTGTCATCTTACGCCGCGTATAGGTTAGCAAAACTCATTTGACTCTCATCCAATGACATCGGTGAGATGGCCGAGTTGGTTATGGCGCCAGGTTAAGGTTAACCTTAACACCAATTCCTGGTGGAGCAATCCTCCTGGGTTCGAGTCCCAGTCTCATCAGAGTTTACTTTTTGTCGCTTATCATGGCACTCAACCTTATAAATAGAAGCTATTTTATTAAAGAAGTTGTCTTTTTGGTTTTGCACATGCTAACAGCTTTTCTTTTTGCAGTTATAGACTCTGTTAATACTTAGTTATACTCCCGGCAGGTTAAAGTCAACGCAACCAATCAGAATACAGGATTCGAGACCTGGGTTAAATTAAGTTCACTTAAGTCTGTCGCGAACAGACACAAGACGCGTCACGAAGATTCATTACCATACATCAGCAGACGCTCTCTATCTCAAGATGCCATCACGGTCTCATGATCATCTAAAAGCTTTACAACCTTGTTCACGATGCATCGGCCGTAAGACAACGTGCAACCGAGGCCTCCCGTACTGTTCGCGATGCGTGAAGTAAGTCCTGCAACGCGTTGCCTCGTTGACCAACACCACTGACACTACAGAAACCCTTCTTAGTGCAGATATGAGCTATGCGGGTCTTCAGAGACAAGGACTTCAACTCACATCATCAGAGTCAGGGGCTCGACGACTTCTTATGATAGAATATATGCCGATGACTCTGAACCGCCAACGTCGACGAGGCCCCTCTCAGAATTGGGCCCTTGCGGCTGGGACTTGACGGAGTATGGACAAGCTGAATTGATGCAGGATATGTTTGCTTACCGCTATCGCACGTACCCTGAAGAAGTAGCTGAGCAGAAGCTGAAGAAAACCGTCGACATTCTCCTGCGGGAACGCGGTTGTACCCTCGATACTCTGCTCGAAGACGAAGTTTTTGAGTCATTTCCCCTGGCGCGATACGGTTGTATGGGCGGGTATGAATACGAGGATAGAGGTCTTTCTATGCCAGGACTGATTCTCGCTATCCTGCTGGTTACGACGCCGCCCTGCAATCATATGGAGTGCTTGAAGACAAAGAGGCTATATGTCACCATCCTCGCTATGTTGCCCATTCTTCAGTCAGTATTGGGCCGTAGTAATGGGGTAATACGGACACAGGCCCTTGTTGCTGTCTATGAATACGGTCACGGATTATACTATCAAGCGTATCTCAACCTCAATTCAGCTATCTGCATGGCATCACGAATTGAGATGCCTCAATCTATCCATCTCGAGTTTGCTCTGGAGTTGAGGTTATCTCTCATGTTGTTAGACTGGTAAATCCATTCTCCTCCCTTGCGTAGAGAGGGACTTGCTGACGATTTGATAGCATGCTTGCCTTGTCAACACACCATAGAGATGAAGGCTGGCTTCCTCATGGAGACGAAGGTTGGCTTCTTCTCATTTGCCATCCGGGACATGCCATGGTAAGAGCCGTGGAAGATAACCTTGCGACGCTTAGAACACCCGAAGGGGACCCAAGACCTGGTGAGACTAATCAGAGTTCCCTGTCCATGCACCAGAGCGTATCGATAGCAGGGTACGTCCTACAGCATATTCATGACTCGAAGCGAAGCCCTCGGTCTTCTAGACATGAGTGTGATGCCGTCTACGCACAAACTCTTCGGATGATGGAAGTTGCGCTGAAAGACAAAACGAGAGATATGCATCACTCCGTTTTACTATCCAGGTTTGCTATCATCTTATTCCACGATGCCCGTTTATGAGCTAACACTCACAGCTGTCTGCTTCTACACCACGCTCATATTTCTATAACATGTCAACCTTGGAAGCTACTAGAACCTGATCAATGGCTGGCCTTCCATAGTTCTCGCCAATAGACCTGGAGACTGCTGAAAAATGTCTTGTGCTCCTATTCTGACGACGAGCAGGACGAGCTGCATTTGGAATCACTCATCTCTCTCATGCCTAGCATGAATAGTTTGTGCATCATAGTAAATGATCCGGAGGATGTCTCAATTGTTGAAGAAATCGCTGCGGTGATGCCGTATATCAGATATGCTGCCCAGAGGTGGGCAGGGATCAGTAAGTATTATCTAGCCGCGGAACCAGCATAAGTTGACCTCTTTTAGGACCCTTCATAAATCAAATTGCTCGAAATGCTGGATTGGATGCTCATGTCAGGGCTGAGTATAACGCGATTCGAGAACCATTTTATTTTGTCTAAGTTGCGAGCTAGATGTGTTATTTGCATTTGAGACTTGGGGCGGAGAGCGTATTTCGGCAGACAGAACCTAGTAATATTATATAGTATAAAAGATTTGAACTTGCGTCCTAAGTCTGATATTTCAATTAAGAATACCTCTGTGGATGACTATCTTCGTATACTTCATCATATTCTGCTTCTTTGAGGATTGTGCAGATAAGCATCTTTTGGTTATGCGCACAGCCGGTTGTGCGGATAGCGGCCGCTGATGACATAAGTAAATTAGATGTACCGGGCCCGGTGCATCTATCAAGTTCACTCTGTCTCTGGAAAAAAGAAAAACAAAAACGCGCTCGAACCATCATTCCTACACGTTCTGGCCACCTACTTAAAACCCGTCCCGATGAGCAACTCAACCATGGCATCGCGATTCCGAGGCGACGGAAAGGCATCGGTATCATGCACGCGTTGCATCAATCGCAAGCAAACGTGCGACCGAGTCCTTCCAAACTGTTCGCGATGCGTGTCGTCAGTTATACGCGCTGCTACGGTCATGGAAAATGCTAACAGTAGCCAGGAACTCAGCCTCATGCGATTATCAGTATCTGACAGCGCCATTGACTTCGGCAACTGGGACAGATAACCCACAGCCGCCACCCACGGACTGTTTCCTCTTTTTGGGGCACTGCGGCTGGGACTTGACAGAACACGCCCAAGCTCAATTAATGAAAGCTATGTTGGCATATGATTCTAATGACGCCGTTGCGAAAGCTGGGCTAGGAGATAATGTCATGAGAGTCTTTCGCGATCGTGGTTGCACGATACAGGAGCTCCTCAAAGATCCCGCCTTTGAGTCGTTACCTCTTGTGGAAAGTCTTCGCACGACTGGCAGTCCTCATCGTTCGCACCCTGAAGACTCCTCCTGGCCCATTTTACATCTCGCCGTTCTCCTCGTCGCCACACCACCTTGCGATCACAAGGCATGTTCACAGACCAAGCGACTCTATGTGACTGTCAAGGCCTTGTTTGCACTTACGCAACTTCATCTTCCAAACCATGCGGAGCTGGTACAGACTCAGGGTCTTATCGCGTTATACGAATGTGGTCATGGGATGCTAGAGCATGCACATGTGACTCTTAATTCAGCCTTCACAATGGCCGCGAGGCTAGATGTTGACCTATCGAGCATACTGACATCCTTGGAGTGGAGATTATCTCTCATGCTCATTGATATGTAAGATTCACACTATATACGCGATTTTGTGTTCAAGAACTAACATTATGACAGCTTGGTTGCCTTGCAGGCGCTTCATAGGAAGCACGACTGGATCCCTCTCGCTTGCCCACCTCATCACGATATGGTAAAGGCTATCAAACATAACTTTACAGTGTTGAAAACCCCAAACGGAACCCCGAGACCCGATCTTGCTTCTCAGCGGGTTTTGGAACTTGGTACAATTGCGTTTCAATGCGGACATATCCTGCAGCACGTTCACGACTCGAAACGCGTCCCTCGAACTGCAAACCCGCATTGTGAATTAATGGTCGAATTTGAAAATTCTCATCCCCCCTTCGACGAGTATACCGTACACCTAGATATAGACCTGTCTATAAGACTACCCACGAGGTAAGGCCCAAACCCATGATCCCACCAATATTCAAATATTTACCTATTCTTGTAGTTGCATCTTTGCCCACACGTTGGAGATGTATGACTTGTGTTATGCCGATATTCCCTTCCAAGAGGTTGATCAAGCGAGACTTGCGGCTGCGAGATTAAATCACCAGAGAGAACTTGACTTACAGCGAGCCTTCACACGCCGGTGTCGTGCAAGGGCTGCTATTGACGCACAACTCAGCTTTGCCACGAATTCCAGTGGAGAGGAGGACCAAAAACAGTTCTCACTAGTAAGGTTGGTATGCATATTGCATAGTTTGTTAGTTACGCTCCAAATCGGTATTCCTGGCTATTATGATGAAAGGATTATCCCTGTAATACCAGAAATGAGGAGGCTAAGCAGAAGATGGCCAGCTGCGGGTGAGTATTTCCCACCGCCGGACCAAGTCTGGGAACTAACTACTTTTAGAAGAATATGTCAATCAGATTTCCGATGATATTCAGAAACGGCAGCGGTCTAAGGATACCCCTCTGGGTAATCTACCGGCGAACACTGGATGAGAGCTCGAACTTCATGTTATCATCCCCAGCCACTATAGCTGAAGGAAAGACTGCTGAAAAGACTGCATGGCCTTGTTGAAGAAATACGTTACGATTGTTAGGGACTACTGTAGTGGGCTTTTGATCCTCGGAGATTCACCAAGAGCATACAAGGTGAAATGTCTGAAACTTTGGATAGTTATCCGAAAGTGAGGGACTCTGGGTCCAGTTTCTCATCTTTTTCTTTTAGCACGAATTTCACTGTTTCGGAGGGTAGCGAGGTGGACTATGCTGGGTTAGGGATGGTAAGGAATTCAGTTTATATGTACAGGAGAATAATAATAATATTTTACTTCTCTAGCTAAAACTATAATTTTTGACATGTTGATTTCAATCACCATACTGCCAAAGCCTTCGCCTTATGTTGATTCAGCGAGAGTCACATCAATGGCAGAGTAACCCGCCCCAAAGTTTGAGTTCGCAGGACCAAAATAGCCGTTCTGGGAACCATCCACATAGAACTGAGAGAACGCGGCCGCATTGTTAGGTCGTCTGCAAGTTCCACTCGCCTCGCAAGATCCATTTGGCGCAGTGCAAGAAAGAGTGCCGCTGGCCGCACGGGTGCACGTCAAGGGAGCGTTCTGGAAGTTATCAAAGGGGCACAGGACAAGCGGTCCGAGGACGCCTGAAGGCTTGTAGTTCAGGCATAGGTAGTTATTGTTGGTTCCTGTCGCGAGCTGGCCGTTGGCGGCGAGGGTGAAGATCAGGGTTTGGGTCGAGTCGGAGAAGGAGAGGGGGATGAAGCGTGAGTCAGTGCCCTGGAGGGTGAGGCCAGCAGCGGGTCCGGTGCCGACGAGGGAGCCGGGTGTGAAGGATGGACCTGCGGTGGTTGTAGTGGAAGCTTCCTCTGTGGTCGTGGACGCAGCCTCGGTGGTGGTAGTAGAGACGACCTCGGTCGATGTAGTCTCAGCCTCGGTGGTAGAAGTCGTCAAGATCTCGCTTGAGTCGGTGCTCAAGGTCTCCGTCGCAGAGGTCAGCGACTCAATGACAGAAGTCTCCGAGGTAGCGGAAGCGGTCGTAGTGGACGATTCGACAACCGAAGTTGCAGCCGTAGTCGTACCTGAATCAATCCATTAGAATCGTCGGCTGGTCTTGCATGCAGGTACTCACGAGCAGGCTTGCAAACTCCAGCTTCAACGACCATATCAGCCGCAAAAAGGGCCAGGGCAAAAGACAAGACACGCATTATGATAGCTGAGCGAATGTTAACGAGAGACAGACAGCTTGGTGAGACAGAACAGAGGAGGACATGACTTGGCAACGGGATGGGCTTGCTTTTAAACAGATAGTGCCGATCTTCCGATCTAGACCCAATAGTTCTTTGGTCAATTTTGGCTGTGATTGGTGATACTTTGAACTAATCGACGCCATATTCGATAGTCTTGACGGGAGACAAGGGGATAGGAGATTTTAAGAGGATGCCGTTACGAGGATCCACTTGGGAAATTTGATGTCGCTTTCTGCACGGCATAGTCAGCCGTAGGAGGGGATTGAGAATAACACGAAAGGGGTCGGTAATACACAGTTGCCGCGGGGAATAACTTTTTAGTTAAATGCAGATAACATCGTTCCCGAACACTTGGTAGGCTCGGTGACACAGTGCTGGGACGGTAGGTCGTTAGAAGCACGGCATGGTTCGAAGGGGGCTTCTGGGGCCAATGGACTTACAAAGAGGCAATTGATATAAGAAACGATAAGCAGAGGGCTGATCATTTTATGCTTAATTGTTGGGACTTAGTTTGCTGATGAGCGATTTGTCATAGCAGGTCTATTTCTCACGTGTTGTCTTCTTCGTCGTCAGTAGTTTTGAAGTTAAGAGGGGATTAATGAGTAACGAGCCAGGAAGGTCGTGATGATGAAGTTCTTTAAAGGCCGCGAAGAGAGAAAACAATAGTAACTATGTTATTGTTCAAGTCACATCTAAGCTACTTGAGATTACAGAATGTATATGGTAAAAAATAATAAAGTTCTACATGAATAAAATCACAGCTGACTACCCTAAACCTGTGAACCAGGTACGATATTTACAGTTAAGTTCTTTATGGTAATTTAAGCTCTCACAAGTCTTAGTTCACCACCCCTACCCCGCTATTTGGTATCTAAGAACACCATCTCATAGACATTTGAGTGACCAAGATTACTGACAAAACATAGTCAAGTTTCCTCGGGGAATATTTACCTTGGCAATTTCCTCTTCCCCACGCATCTTGGTGACGCCATTGACGCCCCGAGATCTCTCCCCGTCAAATAGCGTGAAGCTTGAAGCGTAGGTTGCCGGTGGCTGAGTCCCCAAGATCTCCAATGGACGTGGCCTCTGAGCAATGCCAAGAGGTTTTCAGCTGGGCACTAGTGAGCTGAAACAACAAGGGTCTAGACCCAGAAAATGTTGAGGACATACAAATAGTCAGATTACTCCGCTTTGATCATCCCTAGACATCTTCAAATCCATCTACTGCCATCGAAATACACAGACAAAATGGGTGAAGGCGGCTATCTCAATCTCGTCAACGGTACGCCGTACAAATGGAAGCGCACTCAGCAGAATAGCTACCAGATGGAGGCTTGGAGCTTCCCCGAGTCCATTGATGCAGGTAAATCGACCGTACTTTGAGACATAAATTGAGATCTGACCATATCCTAGGCAAAGTTCCCAGCACTTATGTTGAGTTTGACCATGGCGTTCTCAAGAAGCGTGGAGATACTAGTGGATCCGTCACATACAGCCTGGAGGGCACCAAAGCGACATTCTCAATCCACGTTCGCGATAAGCCCGCAAACATCTGGATTCAGCTCGACGGGCTGGAGGCGTTAAACAACCCTCGTGGCTCAAAGATCGAATTGGGATGGGAGCATGATGAGTGCGTCACGTTTGTGCTCTCTGGAAAGGAGGGAAACTTTCATTCTTCGAACCCGCCTACGGATTGGATGCAGAAGAACAGAAATACCCTGGGTCATCGTCCTTTGTCGCAGATTTGCATGTTGGGTACCCACGACTCGGGCATGTCGACTGTATCTCACTGCGATGTCCCCGGCGGTGTCATTGACCCGTATGTTCTGTGCCAGTCTGTCTCTGTTCTGGGACAGCTTGCGCATGGTGCTCGATACTTTGATCTTCGACCTCAGTACTCAGGTGGCCATCTGTGGACGGGCCATTACACCGGAAAAGTTGGCGGTCGAGGCGAATCGATTTCCGACATCATTTCTGGCGTCAACGAATTTACCAAGAAGAACGGTGAACTCATCATCCTGAACTTCTCGCACTCTCTTCAAACCGATACCGACGAATGGCGAGAGTTTACCAAGCAGGAATGGCACAATCTCATGAAAGAGCTTCTCAAACTGAACCACCTGTTCATCGTCGAGGACAAGAACAAGGCCAAGAACCTGACTCAGCTCAAGCTTGACGATTTTATCGGTAATGGCAAGGCAGCTGTCGTCTGCGTCATGGAGCAGTGGGATCTCGACATCGGCGACTATGCGCACAAGGGATTCTACAAGTACGAAGCGATGAACGTTCGCAACGAGTACTCCAACAAAGACGACGCCGTCGTCATGGTTAACGACCAGCTTGAGAAGATGAAAGGTCACATGTCCGCCAAGGATAAGCGTCTTTTCCTGCTTTCTTGGACGCTGACTCAACAGGCGCCTCAGTGGGATGGCGATGTCGTCACTTTTGTCAAGGTTGCACCGAGGTCTTTGAAGCCGATTAAGAAGCTGGCTTATACCTGCAACAAAGAGCTCTTCACGCGGCTTCTGCCTGAAGTCAGTGATAAATCGTTCCCCAACGTTGTTTACATTGATTATTTGGATAATCAGGATTATGCAGCGTTGGTCGTTGCAATCAATGACAAGGTTTTCAATAATTAAGTGGTTGGATGGGACATATGCTGGTGGATGCCTATATTAAGCCTACGTTTCAATAGCAAATCCTGCTTTAAGCCTCTGATACAACTGGCCCCTCGATTCTCGACATGTAATTCGTCAGTCGTATTCTCTATGCAGATCGGATCAGATCACGCGTCCCGAGACTCCGAAGTACGTGCAGTACAGTAGATCCATGACTAACACCGCTAATAAACCGGTCTCCGCGGCGGCCGCCTTATCCGAGAGTTTAAATTCCCCGAATTTCTGCATCAACCTCGAACCTTCTAAGCTTCTCATCGTCATCATTCTTCAACATGAGTAATTTCAACAATGAGAGGCGGTTCTTTAACTATCCTGAGCCTCAGGAGGGGTAAGCATGACATTGCGTGATGGACGAACCATGTGCTGACGTTTTTTGCTTATCGCAGGCCTCATGTGCCGTATGCTATTGAACGGAATAGAAATCCGGTCTTGAGAGGACCTTTTCTCGTTGCTGCTGCGTTTTTGTAAGTTTTCGTGAATTGAACGAGAAGTTTTGAGTTGCTGATGGTGCAGGATGGAATGGATCCGATTTATTCGTGAGACCGCTTGGGCGAATGCGGGTTTCGCTTCGCTCCGGAACATCCGGACTTATCTTGAGCATTTCGAGCCTCGCTACGATCCAACTGTCGTGCCGATCGCGCTCTCTGAAGCTGAGGCTAAAGAACGCGGTGAGAGGGTTCAGATTTCGGCTTTGCAGCAGGCGAATAATTCTCAGATATTGAATCCGTCGAAATTCTACTCGGCAGCTGATTATAGAGCTCTCTATCTCTCTGGAGAGCTTACTCCGGTTGATGTTGCCAAGGCGATTCTGCCTCTCGTTGAAACCGAAGGCCCGACACCTGGACGGCACGCCCAAGGCTGGAGGGAGCTCAATGTCGAGCGTATTATGAGAGCCGCTGAAGCTTCAACTGAACGCTACAAAAACAAGCAGCCCCTCGGCCCCCTCGACGGTGTACCCTCTGCTATCAAAGACGACTATGATTTAGATGGCTACTCAACAACTCTCGGCTCTCCCAGAGATTATACCGAGACTCCTAAAGACGGAGAATCAACTACAAGCTGGATCGTACGAAAACTCGAAGAAGCAGGCGTTGTCATCATCGGCAAACTCGCCATGCACGAGTTCGGACTAGGTAAACCCCCCCGTATTCTTATTCTTATTCCCCGAATCGACTGACGCTTATCAGATACGACCGGAAACAACCCCAATCAAGGAACGCCGCGTAACCCCTTCAATTCAGGCTATTACACCGGGGGAAGCTCATCTGGTCCTGCGTACGCTGTCAGTTCTGGACTTATCCCCCTCGCGTTGGGCAGTGATGGCGGTGGCAGTATTCGCATTCCTGGATCGTTTTGCTCGGTGTTTGGGTTGAAGCCCACGCATAACAGACTTGCTTCTTGGCCTGGTGCGAATCACTCACCGACATGTGCTGTTCAGGGACCTTTGGCTGTTGATATGCAGTCGTTGGCAGCTGCGTACGAAGCCATCGCTGAACCTCATCCCTCAACGCAATTTCCTCCTTTGGCTCTGCAACCTTCACCGCCTGTTACGAAAGTTCTTGGTATCTTTGATGCATGGATCTCGCGCGCTACACCTAGTGTTCAGTCATTGGTTCGTGGGCTTATTGAGTCTTTGGCTGCTAAGCATGGATATACTCTTGTCCCGATCGAAATTCCTTTTCCTGCTGAGGGTCAGATGGCACATGCACTTACTGTTTTGACTGATGCTTCCACATTACTTTATGATACGAAGGGTTTGACGCCTGCTAACAAGATTCTTCTTGCACTGGGAAGGACTACGCCTTCGACGGATTATCTGCTGGCTCAGAAGTTGAGGGGGATGTTGATGCAGCATCTATCATATCTTTGGAAGACATACCCCGGCATGCTTATCATAACCCCCACAACCGCTTGCGCCGGTGCGCCTATCCGCGGTGGAAAATCCGAGTTGTCTTACGGCGTTAACGACGGAAATTATACGCTCCAAAGCATGGAATACGTCTGGCTCGCTAACTTCTGTGGTCTCCCCGCCATAAATGTCCCAGCTGGATACGTCGTTCCCGAAGGTAGGAAAGACGCGGGCGAAGTTGCTGATAGAGATACGGAGGGTAAAATTCCAGTCGGACTTATGGCTACGGGCGAGTGGTGCAGTGAAGATGCGCTGTTGCAGTTTGGTTTTGATGCAGAGGCTGCTGGACAGGAACTTCGAAGCAAGCCGCCGAATTGGGAGGATGTGATTGAGAGGGCTAAAGATGAGGCTAAGATGAGTAGAGGGCCGCGCCGTGCAGCCGGGAGTGAGTAGATCTGGCGAAGTAGTAGAGTTAGAAAGAGTATATGTATTCTAGCTTATAGCAGGGCGAGGGGAAGAGAAGTGCGAGGATCGGAGGATATATCCTAGATGATTTATCAAGTTCATTCTTTTATCATACTAGTGAAAATATATTTAAGTGAAATCTTGAAGGATCCAACTGCAGCTTCCTACCTTGGCATAGATTCTCGGAACCTTGCATATCTCCCCACCTCTCAGTCAGCTCACGTGTTTTGAGGCGTTTATCATCCTTCACTGATCCTCCTAACCAACGACATACATTACACCCCATTACGACTCAAAACGCATCATCAAATCCAGCCACTGAGTTGTGAATTAAATATGGCAGAACAGAAGAATGAAGGCCAAAGAATTGACGGCCCTGTCAGCGCCTCTCAGTATACCATCCGCGAACTCACTAGCTCAGAGGAAGATATCCAACAAGCATGGAAATTGTGGCACGCCATCTTCCCGGACTGGCCTATCGAGCAAGGTCGGTTCGCAGGGCTTCTTTTTGGCATAAGGGGTCAGCACTGGATTCACGAGCATGGATTCTGCCTGTCATACTATTCCAAGAGCGGGAACTCCGGACATATCGCAGCCATCGGAGTCTTGCCCGAATACCGTCGTAAAGGACTCGGTGATGCACTTCTAGAGAAAGGAAAGGCTGGGCTGAAAAGTGCAGCGAAGAATGTAGGTCAGGAGTTGAACTCTTTAGCGGTGGGGTCTATTTTCCCGAGATTTTGGTACCGAGTGCCAACCAGTCTCTATCCCGATTCAAAAGAGTTTTTGTCTCACAGAGGTCAGTGGTGCGCCCGAGAAAAGAAAAGGGTCTTTTACTGACTATCTAGGCTCATACGAAACTACTGATACTGTACGAGACCTTTACAAGGACATCCAGACCGAGATTGCCTCGCCTGAGATAATGGAGCGTGTCTCAAAGACAAATATCAAGTTCACTCTATGGTCGCCAGAACTGTACGAAGAATGCATGGCCAAACAAAATGAGCTATTCGTAAGTAACAGCACTTGCCGCATTCAATTTATTTAACTAATACTTTTAGACCTGGGGCGGCATTTACGAAGCTCTCGCAGCACGAGGCCAACATCACGAAGTAATGGTCGCCATTGACCCCGACACCAACAAGCAGATTGGCTGGACTCTGATGTGCTCTTTCGGATCTTCAGCCGGCGATGCTTTCGCATTTCTTCCTCTCCTTCCTTCCGGAGAAAAGACTGGTCTTATTGCTGCGGTTGGAGTGGATGAGGCTGCAAGAGGCAAAGGTGTTGGATTAGCGCTTGTTGTCAAAGCGATGGAGAATCTAAAGGAGAGAGGTATGCAGGGGATCCTTATTGATGCTGTTGCAATACGGGGGTTCTATGAGAAGTTAGGCTACGAGACGCAGTGGGAGTATGAGGCGTGTAATTTTGATCTGGCTAAATAAGGTGCCAATCCCTGATTTATTTCACGGATTGCGGTAAAGTAGATTACACAACAAGTTACTAGGAGACGAGATTCAAATCCGGTTCCCTCCCTAGGACTGGCCTCTTATTAAGCTGGTGCTAGAAGAGAGGCTGAGAATTCAGGCGATGTTAAATAAGGGACTGGATAAGTAGAGGATCCTATTAATGGGACTGCTGCAGGTACCTTGATATAAGGTGTTAAAATAAACTCAGGAAAAGGTTTGCTTAACTCAACAAATACATTCTAAACTTATGCTAAATTATTTAAGTCTTTTTATCATCTGGAATCAATATCCTCAGCCGGCCATGAAAATCCAATAGTTATGATATAAGGATAGCGCTTCGGGCTCCAATCCTAGGACGCAATCTAGCACACCCCTCCTGCGTTACAGGACGTGGCTTTTGGTTTTTGTCTTTCAACCTTTGTGATTGGCCATGAGGGGATCTAGTTCTGGTCATGCAGTCCAGGATTGAGTGTGGCCGTAGCTCATTGGATAGCAAGAACCAATAATTCAGCCACCAACAGTTGGCGAGGACATGGCGCGGGGGCTCCAAGTATAGACTTATAACAAGCCCCAGCGGACAATGAACGAATACTCGCAAGGCTCTCCAGGAGGTTGAGAACCAGTGCAGCCAAGTACGTACAAGGCCGCAATAATGTGTCCATCTCATCGAGTCTGCAATGAATTTGCTTGGGAGGCGCCTTGTGCTGTATGCGCAGAACCAGAAAGGCGCAGTCTGTCTGCCTTATGCGGCTGACTTCCTTGGCATGCTTTTCAAACCTTTCTTATTTTTCAGCTTGACTTTCCCCCTCACAATCAATTTCTTCCTTCACTAATTCCGCAATATTTTCAATGCCTCGTAATAACTTTAGCGACCAGCCTAGTATAGGCCCTTTTACAGCAAGACAAGTTTACGATAGTCTCCCTCTGCCTCCCGGTTCTCAGTGCATACGAGTGCTTGATGTTCACCCGAGTGATCCAGCTGACGGTAGTCGGCTGACTGGCACATTACGCATAGTTGATCTACGAACTCTACCAAAATTCACTGCCCTTTCGTATGTTTGGGGTCAAGGTTCTTTCCACAGAATTGCTTGCAACGGTTGCGATCTTAGAATCACACAATCCTGTTATGAGGCATTGACGTCTCTTCGAGATTCCTGCCGATCATTGACAATCTGGGTTGATGCAATCTGCATCAACCAGGAGGATAACAGCGAGAAGGAGCAACAGATTGTGTTGATGGGCAGCATCTACACATTGGCCAAAACCGTTTATGTTTGGTTGGGTGTTGGCAGTACGAAAACCGATCAGGCTGCCGAGTATATCTGCACCATCTCACAGTTTCGCCGATTCCCTGCTGGGGTACCTCGAAGTCCTCGCAGCAATACTCCTCGTAATGTTCTCAGACGCTTTATTCGAATTGGTAAATACGTATTGCCCCTTGCCTTTCGAACTTGGTGCATAGAATCACTTGTTGCCGACCGAGATCGCAGAACCAAATTGTTTTGGTTCGGCCCTGTTCTGCTATATCTAAAATTTATATACGCGGATCGACTTGGTGAGTCCAACATCTGTGAAGCATTTGATGTAAATATGTGTCCAATACTATTTTTGAGACTGACTCTAGTAGAACAAGTTTCGAGCCTCCCATTTACCAGCCAGGATAGAATGAACAGACTTTTGGACCAAACCTGGCTTTCTCGTGCCTGGACATTTCAGGAAATGGTGCTCGCATCCAACCCAGTTCTTGTCTGTGGAAGTCAAAAGATTCCCTGGCTGGTCATGCATCAAGCCTTGACATTCATCGAGCATTCTGCGACGCGGGAATTGGTTGATCCAGTTAACAATGCAATCACCGAGATTCAACAACGAGTACACAAGGAAGTATCCCGCTCAGACTCGTTCAAAAAATGGCAAGCTCTTTTCGATGTCTGGCAGACCATCCCCCGTCATTCCAGCCAGAGTAGCTACTGGAACAGTACTGTACATGGTAGCAGCTGTTCAGTCCATGACTGCGTTCAGGCTCTAGGAACAGCCAAGATTTTCAGGTTCAAACGCTTTATTCGGTTGAGCCTGTGGATATACCATGGAGTAAGCATTTTCTTTATCCTCTTCATCGAGCTTTATGTGCTTTCTATTTGGTACTTGTTCTTCTTGGCCTTCTTGCCGATCATTAATCTATATGTCTGTGATTTGTTTGCGAAGTACACTTTCGATTGCATGCAAGGGTCTAAGGCTCGAATGTACAGTCTGATCTGCCATCCTGGTCTCCAACCTCAGAATTATCTTGTTGCTATTGCACAAGCTATCAGAGACCGCGATTCGAAAAGGCCGCACGACCGAGTATATGCGATGGATAGCGTTCTGCGGCAGCTCGGCGCACAGCTGCCTACCCCTGATTATCAGAAACCACTTGGCTAAGTTTATCGCGACGCCCTGGTGAGTTTGATGGAATGGAATCCCACTCTAATTACTTTGCTCGTTGATTGCGGTCCTCGCCTTCCGGATGCTCCCAGCTGGGTTCCTGACTGGAGCCAAAGCAACAATAACAAGAGTTGGCTTCCCGACTCCTATATCTATCATGGTGTTAGAAACCGTTCGTTGACTGACCAAGGCTTGGATCAGTCGGTTTCTGGAAATACCCTATCAGTAAAAGCCGCATGTCTGGGAATTTCACGTTACTGCCTAACGCTAGAAAAAGGGGAGGATGGCGAACTCACGAGCAGTGAAATAACGACGAATGGCAAGCTTGTTCGCAATGTGCAGCTTATGGCCGAATGGGCTTCGCATATCAGTAAGGATACAATCGTTTCCAGATTGCATGAATCTATACCATGGACGATCATGCTTACACTGACTGGTCGGTCTATACCTCGCTCTGAGGTTACATCAGAACAAGAAGATACTTTCAGACAGATGTTTGAGATGATAACACAGCTGGGTATCGAAGCGTATAGAATATCAGGAGATACCGCGGCTGTTGCAGCCCCTTCAACAAGGGCATTGGAGGCTATCAGCCGGAGCGAAGGCTGCAGCAAGCTTTTCCTTGATACTTGCAATCGAATAGCGGGAAGGAGAGGCTTGCTTGTTTCAGACAATGGCTTGATTGGATCAGGTCCAATTTCCATAAGACAAGGAGACGCTATCACCCTAATCAAAGGTATTTCGGTTCCAATGGCTCTGCGGAAGATCGGGGAGGACTATCAGGTGCTTGGGCCCGTGTTTATTGACGGATTTATGGGACTTCCTACGGAGACTCTACACAGGATGAATCTTAGTTGGGAGAATTTTAGGCTTGTATAATTAGATAACACTGTTTGTTCAAGAGATTCAGATTGTTCTGGAGTTGTGGTAAGGCCATGTTGAGGTCGGCGTATATTCGATCACTCATAATCTAAGTATGTGATCGGATCTTGCCACCTAGAGCGATGGAATGGACTTGGTTATGCTAGCTTTTGCCGAAGTCTGCTTGAGATACTGTCTCTTTTTATTTCCCATTTATGCTTGCATTCCCGATGTGGTAGGCTGGGAGCTATAATGCTGCCGCCGATCCAACCGTCAGGATTATTGGCAGAGAGGCTGCTGACAATACTCATGCGGTTCAGCTTATCATCCAAACGTCATGAGTCAAGGACCCGGTTGTAATGCTTAAGAGTATGCTCTTTTTATCTACCTATATGCTAACCTCGATAAATCAGGAATCTAGACAGCAGTATCAAAAGCTCCAACTATTTGAAAGACACGGCATAAAGTGCAAATTTCCGTCAAATCGAACCCGACTTGCACAGTTACATGCTCGGAGTCGATCAGTAAGCAAGGGGCAAACTATCACTATAAGCCCCTGGATAATAAGCGGCGATCAAAACATAAGCTTAAAAGCCTGACCAGCCTTTCATCCAGAAGAGGAAAGTGCTCATATTCCAGTCGAAGACAATTGCTGTGTTAGGTAGTGTATCCTTCAGTATTGATAGATGTTGAATCTTGGAAATGAGGTGGGAGGCCGTAAAGACAATATTGAGAAAGTTGTATAACGAATACATTCTTATCCTCTCGTGTTCGTTTATACCAACTCCCCGACTAGATTTACAGATTTAGCCGACCAGAGAATGGATACACTTCACTTTCAATTCCGGGGTGTCATTGTTTTGCCCAATCGGAATGTACATGTCGTGTTCCAGAGTAAAGCTGATGGTATGGCCATGTCAGTAAGCGGGCTTCACGGGCGCCACAAGCCAATTTTGATCCAAGTTGTGGCTGATGCAAATTTACTCTTGAAGTTCCAGGTAAAGCCAATCCTCAACTAAGCAGCTAGGTGAGATGTTCCGGTAAAATGCAGTCCGCCCGATGAAGCAATATTGTCAGCATTTCCTGTTATATTGAGAAGTTTGAGAAATTGCTTTTTGGGACTTTGGTCCCGTTGAATGAATAGGCTGAAGTCATGATTGTACTGGGACAGTTAGCGTCTGCGTGTATAACCGCAGGAGCCTCACTATATAAGACCTCCTTTCTGCCACTATTCTAAGGTCAGACTCCTTACTCTCTCAGCAACTCCGAATCAAGACTGTCTCCGGTAAGGTCTCGACCGACTCATTCTTCGGCGTATCCTCCGACAAGACTACGTACTGACAAGTCAAAAGGACCACGATATAAGCAATGCACGTCTCAAACACCCTCCTTCTCCCTCTTGCCCTAGCCGCCTTTTCCTCAGCTCTGCGAACAGGCTGTAGAGATGGTGAAGTTGCAGTAGGCACCTGGCAGACATGTACACTGGGCGATCCCAGAGGTGGCCCCAGCTGCGGTGACCTGCACGCAACCATCTACGCCAACGACTGCGGTATGATTTCTTACTCGCGCAACGAAGGAGATATTTGCGATGTGGATGGTGGCTGGCCTTCTGGTTACGGTCTTCGATGCGACAACCACAACCCATCGGTCGTTTATACTACTGGAGGGAATTTCGGCAATTGTTATCACAAGGGAACCAATTGCAGCCCTATCCCGTTCACTCACTATTATGCATCTTGGTGCTGCAGCAGGCTCTAAGCTATCCTAGGGCAGCTGGTCAATAGTCGCGGCCAAAGTTGACTTTGAGAAGGACTTATGTATTTTGGCAGAATAATAAAATACTTATAATCTTTCAACCGTCTCTTTGACGTAAACTAAATTGTCTATATAATTTAATACTATCACTACTAGGGTATTTAAAGAGAGTTTAGCTGCTAGTTTATACTAAGTTCTGTCTGCTGATTTAAGCTCTTAGCCACGTCTCAATAACAAATGACACACTCTGGCTTACAACTTGTCCATTATACTAAATTGTCTGGCTAATGCTTATGCTTCTTGCACAGACTGATTCTTTAACTCCAGATCGCCCTCCTACCTCCAAAGAATGCCTGTTGGGACGGCTCACTGCCAAGAATAGCATTACCACTGTCTTTCTCTAAAGGCTTGATATGGGGTTTCCTTAAAAATGTGAAATTAGGTTTTCTGCTCGGGTTCGTCGGTCAATGGGCTGACAGACCAGGATCCTCCCAGTCGATCTCCAGTGGCATTGCCTGGTAGACTGGAAACCATAGATGACACTTACCGGTTGCTGTTTGGAGAAATAAACTAGAATTTAGCTAATCTGATCTAGTAATTCCAGTCTCTCGGCCACATTCCCAGTCCGACTAACCATTACCATATCATAGCGCTCTGGTAGTATTTAGCGCAAGCCGCGGCGACGCAGACCTGCCTAGATGTAGCTGGGCCGTAGTTATTGGCAAATGAAATCCATTCAACAACTCATTTTGCCATCCGGCTTATGCTCAGGAACGAAAGATTTGCTATAGAAACTGGCATTGTTAGTTTCGAGCAGTGGAGTAGGCTTCCGACGATGGCTATACCATGTTCAAGGACGCTGGAAAAGACATACAAGGACTCTGGATTCAAAGAGGGTTTCTCTTATCCTGAGTATTTTAAATGTGCAGTCGATGGCATGACTGCGAGATTCCCTGATCGTCAGATAGGATATCTCCGTTAGTCGTTTTTGATATCTTCTTAGCCTGGGCAACAGAGCTATTTGATGTGAGTTATTTTAATTCGATGTCCATTGATTCTGGCTTATGTAACTTTATTTAATGGGGGATCAAGGCCAGCTAGTTTTTCCAGTCCAAGTCCCAGTTCATACATATTATGCTAGACGAAGATTATCGTTTCTTTAAGCACTATATGAAGGATAAGCTTACTTGCCCGGATCGACAACTCTGCTTACACTCTCGGCTTACGTTAACTCGACGTTCAAGCATCACCACTCGGAACCCGAAATCACTAGGGAGAATACAGTCAAGGGTCATTAATCATTAAACGCTAGAAATACACATATAAAAAACAGCGAATGTCCGGCTACGGCCAGTAGACATCCAGGGTATCAACCGGAGAACCTCCCTCCGCAATGCCTCCACCTGGAAGGTAAATACCACCCTTAATCGCAACAGCCGCACCTCCATGTCTTGGCAACTTCATAGTCCCGAGCTCCTCCCACTTCCCGGTCTTTGTATCAAAGACCTCAATCTGGTCAAACATGCCCTCCGACTCGGGCGCAATGTTTCCCTCGCCGCCTAAAACATAGACTTTGGTGCCAATTGTGCCGGAAACGGCACCGCCGCGGGGCGTGGGCATTCTGCCTTCGCTGGTTGTCCAGCCAGCTTCTAGGTCTTCTAGATCGAGGATGAAGACAGTGTCTTTTACGTTGCGCTGGCCGCGGAGACGACCGCCGAGAACGTGGAATTTTGTTCCGACGATGGAGGCTGTTGCGTGATCGCGGCCTTCGGGGAGCTTCTTTGCTGCGGATGGAAGATCGATCCATTGTGAAGTCTTGGTGTTGAAGGCAGAGACAAAATCGACGGTATCTTGTTCTCCGCCTGGTCCAGTTGGCTCCAAGGTGCGCATACCTCCAGCCATGTAGATAATATTTCCATAAACACCAATCGCCGCACTTCCTCGCTCTTCACTATCCGGTACAGGATCGAGCTCCGTCCACTCGTCGAGGTCGGGATTGTAGACCCATGAGTCTGAAAATGCTCGCCACGCGCCATTGTCAATATCTGAAAGTCCGCCGAGGAGATAGATCTTGCCATTGACTGCAGCGACATTGGGATGATTGACTTTCACGGGAGCCTCAGTGACGTATCGACGCCATGAATTCGAGCGCGTGTTGAAGAATTGCATAAGAGCAGTCGTCTCAAAACCATTGGCCTCGCGATTGGGAACGATTCCACCGATGATTGCAAGGGTCTTTTCGTCGAGTGCTACGACGCCATGTTCTTGCCGGGAAGCAATGGGTATGGAGGGTAAAGTTTTCCAGGTGTTCGCTCCTTGGGGGACGGCACTGGCCAGTGCGCCCGATAACAACGAGAGGAGAGATATACTAGAGAAGATCATGGTGAGAGATGAGATGATTTGAGGGAAGAAACATAAAGTGGCCACTCAGATTCTTAAGTAGCAGCCGGACTTGGCAAGTTTCGTCATGGAATTGTGGCTGGATGACCATTCTCTCCACGACGGGAGGGGAGGGGGTTCTTGGCATCAGCATCTCTCACACAAAGATGAAGCACCAAGTGCCTTGGACCTAAGCTTACGGGGGAAATAAACAAGGTTTGGCACTAAGATAAGGTCCCCTGTCCAATGTATGACTGCTAAATCCGAAAGCGCCGCGCGTTGCAAGGGCTACAAGGGGGGAGGCTTGCTAGGCTTGTTGGAATGAGATTAATTGGCGCCAAGCTCAAGTCCCCATAATATTCTTGTTTTGAAGCACGTGTGCGCTTAACTCAATAATTATGGTTGTTGCGCTTTTTATCGTCACCTGCACGTGCATGTCTTATTCGACATTCCACGCTGGCGAGAATATTGGCTATTGAGATTAGACACATTGCAATTTTAACTGTTATCGAGACTAGCAATAGTTCTTATGGCATAACAAAATGTCAATTGCACATTGACAGTGGCTTGACAGCCACGTTATGCCCTGTATCCCTGCATCCCTGTATCCGTTTGCGTACTCTGTGTACGAGTATACAAGCCACAGTAACAAGCCATGACCGCGTACATCCCACCGTGATTATAAAGCGACACATCGTCGTCCAAGATATGTATGATCCCACAAGACTTCCATTGCGATTACAAGTCAAAGAGCCGTAGCGGCCAGTCATTGCGGGCCCAGCGTTTGGATCATGTTAGGAATATACGCTCGTAACGCCATCTGATCATCTGACGTGCAAAAAAGAATCTGACAAGACTGGGATTCGAACCCAGGCCCCTTTCGAGACTGCGAATCGTCACTAGTTCTTATCGAACCTGAACACATCGCCTTAGACCGCTCGGCCATCTTGCCTTCCGATTGGATAGCAGTTTAGTCTGCAAGCTGGCGTTACCATGCTGGGGTACTCCGTAGTGGTTTTGCCAAGCTCAGCTGTCCCCAGAAAACAACTTGGTAGCTACCCTGAATCTGAAACTCAGGGACAAGTTTACGAGGAAAACGAAACACGTCACAGATACTCCTGGCATATAACTGTTTATAAATATAAATATAAAATAAATAAAGTTGTTTTAAGTATTAAAGTTATTTATACTTGTTGTGGGGTAGACTAAAGCCTTCTGTGTGAGGTTTCTCATGCCCTTTATTAGGCAAGGGATAGCCTTTATCCTCAAAGAGCTTGCTAGCAGATTGCAACAAGCCTGCAGCTTCTCGTCCAAGCCATTGTTCAACAAGTGCGCTTCTGCTATCTTCTACTTCTACCGTCTTTCCCCCAACGACCTACAGTGCAGTTAGAGCACAGCGACGCATGAGTGAGGGAAGTTGGGCTTACCATGTAACATTTTCCAGTCTCATTCTGCGTAGAGGCAAGAGCGATAGTCTCAGCGACATCTTCTGGAGTATTCGACTTTAGGCCTGAGTCTTTCCACTTCTCACCCAACTCCTTGAACGTTGGTGTTGGTGTAAAGAACGGAGCAACAGCATTGACTCCGATACCGAGGCCTCGAGCGACTTGCTGTGATGCTCGAAGTAGGCCCGTGAGCCCGTGCTTAGATGTGATGTATGCCCCTACGCCAGTAGTTCCAAAATAGCCTGATGTTGAAGTAACAAGAACCACAGATCCTCTCAGACCATCAGAGGAACCTAGTTCGTTGTGCTGCATGTGATGCAGTGCGAGCCGTAACGCTTCAAAAGAGTAATGATTCAGTCATTTACGATCAAAACAATTAAAGGGTCGAAGAATACGTACTATTGATGGTTCCCTTGAGGTTGACATCAATCACGCGAAACCCTTCTATCGATTCGCGCAATTCCCCCTGTTCGTCAACGTTTTCGATATCGAACAGACTAGTGCTCTCCATTATGCCGGCATTGGCTACCACAATGTCGATATTACCGAAGTGCGATATGCTCTGAGAAAAAAGAGCTCTCATTTCATCCCAGAGGAGAATGTTGACACTGATGAAAAGCGCAGAGGAGGGATGCTGCAAGGATCGAATAAGCGATTCTGCCTCAGCACGAGTGCGCTCAAGATCGGCGATGACTGTATTCGCTCCATATGAGTTGAAGAATCGCACAGTCTCGGCTCCGATGCCATTTGCGCCGCCTGTTACGATCACGGTTTTGCCTGCGAGGGTACTGAGTGAGCGCAGGTCGCGAGTGTTGTCAGTCATTGTGTAGTTTGCCTACTAGATTCATTCTCGGGCTAGTAGTCAAGATATTCTGAACAGAATTTAACTCAAGAACATGTCAGAGGTTGACTCGCGGATGTATGACAAGACTAGTGGGAGCTCGGCTTATCTCGGAGTATTCTCTCGGCATACTCCTAGTATCTACACGGCATATTCAGATCGGACAACTAGATATTCAGCGCAGATTGAACTTCAAATCCCCTAGCCGATCCGACGTCGGAAAGCGTAAGATGATCGGAAATCATCGCGTCCATCGCCAAAACGCCGAGCTAACGGTCGTTTTGGAAGAGCAACGTGACCCCATACGCATGAATGCCCATGCACATAGAAAGATTCATGACAAAACCTGACATGGTCGTGAGAATTGATAGTCGCTTACTAGTGCTATTGATGGCACCTGCCGCCTTAGCCCAGGTGCATAATGATCTACAGCAGCAGCAAAGGATAAGCATTGATATTCACTGGAAATACCATCGAGCTACTGTTTGGCAAGTATCGGAGTAAATTAATTAATAGACTACATAGACACTACTCTAGAAGGCTTTGAGTAGCAACCTTGTTGATAAATGAAGCTACTTTGCCTGGAATACTAACAGTTGGAAAGTGTCCTGAATCACAAGAAAAAGTGACAACCTCTCGACCGCTCTTTTTAGATATCATATCAGCGACAGATCTCTGGACTTGAGGCGGGACAGAAATATCCTTCTCACAAACTATATACACAACAGGAATATTCAAGTATCCTGCGTTTTGTAGTGGTCCAGAAAAGCTCAGCGCTGAGTGTGCTGTCATTTGCTTTGCATACGTCAACGCTTCGACTTTCGGGAGGTCTGAGAAATTGACGCTCGCGCAGCCTTCGGGCTCAGATATGAGGTAGTCTCCCTGTTTAAACAGTTAATCGTTGTATAGAGGCCTTGAAGCCTTTTACGTACCTCGACTTTCATGAAATGGGGCATGTTATCGCCCATCATGGTCTTGACTGACCCTCCGATCTCAGGTACAGGGGAGCTGATATAGACAAGATGGACTATACCTCCCGGCTTCCCGGAAACTTGTCTCTCTGCCTTAGAGACATCAGCCGTACTCTCTGTACCGCATATACCGCCATAAGAGTGCATCACCAGGATGATCTCGTGACCTTCATCAGCTAGCTTTGCTATGACTGTCCTGATATGCTCAGCATCTTCTTCCATGGAAGCAGCTGGCAGTGCGTCACGAAATCCTACAGACGGCAGATCAATAACAGTTGTCTCCAGTGCATACTGTGCGAGGCTTTCGACAAGTTTAGAGTATAGTGATGGTGGGGCAAAAGATGCCGGGACAATAACAACATGTGGGCTGCGTTTCTGCATCGTGATCGAGTTCAAAGACGGTTTCGTGTTAGTCAAAGCATCTGTTCTGGAGCATTCCGGTCTTTTAAGCGATCAAGCTCATTTTTAAGCCATTGTTTAGACTTGAACACAATTTGCCGAGATTTAGAAAAAAGCCGAGTGTTGGGAGATGTGAAGCCGAAAAGGCCGACATCATCGGATGCCGGGATTCGTGTTACACATCATAGATATCACCGAAATGGGCAAGTCGATTCATTCGGCGATCAGTTCGCTGACAGTTCTCGAGGAAGAGCCTCGTGTGATCCTCCGAGGTGTATAGGTCAGCAGCATGATTAGAATAGAACCCCAAAAGTCAAGTCTATATAAGTTCCATTGATTTGGCTTCTACTGAATGAGTTATCTCCCATACCAACATTTTAGACAATCTTTCCATAAGAAAAAATCATTGTAAACTTCTCACCATGTCCAAGCACATCGCCATCGTCGGAGCAGGACCTTCTGGTCTAAGCCTCGCGGCTCTGCTGCAACACTACTCGATCCCATTTACCATTTTCGAGCGAGAAAAATCCACCAGCTCTCGCTTCCAAGGTGGTTCCCTTGACCTTCACCCAGAGTCTGGTCAAGCAGCCTTGTTTGAAGCTGGTCTTGAGGAGCAGTTCAAGAAGTACGCGCGCTATCACGATCAGGATTATCGTTTTGGTGATAAGAAGGCGGTTGCTTGGTTATTCCACAAAGCAACTGCTGATGCAGAGGGGCGTCCAGAGATAGACCGTGCAAAGCTTCGCAAGATTCTTATTGAGTCGCTTGACCCGGAAAATATCAAGTGGGATCATCGGCTCTCTGAGATTGTTCCGCAAGAGGACGGCAGGGTTAAGTTGATTTTTGAGAATCAGCCTGAGCCGATTGTGACTGATCTTCTTGTGGGGGCTGATGGAACTTGGTCCAAGGTACGACCGCTTCTAACGAGCTGGACGCCTGAATACACAGGGCTGACGGTTATCGACTGCCGTATATCCGATGTGGACAAGAGATTCCCAGATCTTGGAGAGTTCATTGGCCGAGGCACTTCATTCTTCCTCTCAGAAGGCAGTGGGATCTTTATCCAGCGCAATGGGGATGACAGCGTGAGAGTCTACCCCTGTCTACGAGTCGAAGAGGACTGGCACTCAAAGGATCCCTCCTTCGACTGGAATGACGCCAAGAAAATGACTGACTATCTGATCAATACCTTCTTCTCCACCTGGGATCCTCGTCTTCAGGACGTCATTCGCAACGTCGATACGAACATGACTCCGCGTGCTCAGTATCGCATGCCCTTGGGTCTACGCTACGACCACCATCCAGGCTTGACTCTGATCGGAGATTCTCTCCATGTCATGTCATGGTTTGCAGGAGAGGGTGCGAATCTGGCTATGCTAGACGCCCTGGACCTTTTCCATGAAATCAAGGCCCACTTAGGTGATTTGGATCTTGCTGTTCGACGCTATGAGGAAAAGGTGGTTGCCACTGGACGAGCGGATAACACGAACGAAATGTCGCAGGATTTGCTTGTCAAGGCCATGTCAGATGATGCTCCTCGGGCTTACGTTGAGGGAATGGCGAAGGCGATGGATGTTTGGTTCACTGACGGGAAGTTATTGGACAAGATTGATCGAGAGACTCTATTCAATAACTGACAGTAGGGGGATAGAACCATTCGCCACCTAAATCGCTATCATCTAGGGTGAACTTAAGCAGATTTTTAAGACCTTTCCAGCTTTATCTCAAACTTCTTGCCAGCCAAATCTAGTTCCTCTAAACTCATCTTTTCCACTGTAGATACTTTATCATTCAGCAAAAATGGCAGAACTGAACCCTTCCATACAATGACGTTGCCTTTGGATAAAAGGTCACTAATGATGAGCCAAAATATCGATACCATGCACATGAGCAAGATTACTGCTGGTAACATCATCCATTCCCAGGCAACTCTGAGGCATGATCTGTTTTCCCAGCCCTGTCCCTCGATAACCGCACGGGCATTGCCATAGGCGTCCAACCCTGCACGTCGAAACTCTGTCGTTAGGCGCACGGCCATGGCATTCATTGATTCTGAAATTTTCTGTATACTTGTAGAACGAGGGCGTAGGATAGAGATCATAGGCAACGAGCTACCCTCAGTCGCCGTGTAGCAGGATACAAAATTGGTCTGGTAGCCTTCAGGCCTACAGTACGCATTGAAGGCCTCAAAGAGAGTCCGCCGAAAGGAATAAATAAAGAGGTGTCTTAGTGACACAACGCATTCGAGAGGAGCAGTGAAATTGCGGTAATCAACCGCTTCGTGAAGGCTATGGTTCTCCCAGCCTTCGGGGTGAATGAAGACAGTTTGTCTCTCGTCTTCTGGTAGCTTCTCGGATTCCGAAGTCATATTCGTCGAGGTGTATAGTGTGCCGTTGACAGAACAAGGATATTGAACCCCCGACAGTCCTTGAGGAACCTGATTAGCTGCATGGCCACCAGATGAGTGCTCAAGACTTTTTGTAGTTTGTACACGCAGCGGTGTGTTCCTGACGACACGTTCTGAAAGCGACCCCAAGCTTACATTGCCAGCATAGTGTTTGACGCACGGGTACAAGATGCACGCAGCTGCAATATAGCCAGTTGGTTGGCCCCAAGCCACGGGACCTTTCGCCTTGTCCCTGCCGCCGACTAGCGGACACGACATACTACCGTCAGTCTCGTTTTGACAGTTCTGCTGTGAGAAAGCTAGCATGGTCAAATTAGCGGCGGACCAACGGGCAGTGTTGAGAAAGTCTTTAGGTAAAGCATTATGCGCCCACCAAAAGTCATCTATAATCTTGGACTCCAAATACCGCGCGCTTTGAGATGAGGTACCTGAGTTAATCTCAATACGATCTGACTCGTTGTTTCGAGATGGCATGTCCATACTCAGTATAGCCTGATGCAAACTGGTTTGGCGATAGCGCTCTACTCTGACTTTTACAAGCCTTGATGTGTCCTCGCAGCGACTGCACATACCAAGGCTAGCGTGCGAAACGCGTTCCTGGTCAGCCTGCCCAGGGTAGTCAGGATAAGCGTGAAAAGTACAATTTCCAGAAGGACAATCGAAGAGGTCGTCGATATTTGAGCTCTGAGAAGGATTAACCACGGCATCCTGAATTGCTGCTTGTAATCCGACGTGAAGCTTCCACATGGGGCGGGCGCTCCTGGTAGTACAAACGGTCACCGTCGACTTCATTAGCCACAGTGATCGTCGCCAACCGCTCTGGAGCAACCTGAGCGCAATACTGCGGCTGTATTGCCTGTTGAGTGACAGGTCCGATAGCTAGAGAAGCAACAACGACTATCACGGCCAGAATGGCCTGCGGTTGGTGCTTTAAAACGACAGGGGTGAGCATCAATGAGCCCAATGCGCCTCGGGACGCATCATCGTAGCGCTGCATATCGCCCACGGGCCTGAATGTCTTGGCGATCCAGTCCCATTTCAGCTGGGCCAAGACCTCCAAGGCCACGAAGGCTATGGTAGCGCGGAAGATGGTAGCAATCACAGCAATAAGAGCGTTGAGAGTGATATTAACTCCTGTCTTGCCATTCCAATCAGGCAACTCATGAGTGTTATACGAAGCGAGGATAGCGAAAATGGATCCAAGCAGCCCGTTTGCCAGTAACAAAAGACCCAACTCAAGGCTCCAGACCAGGAAGATGTTTCTCTGATGATTCTTGGAGGAGCTAGCGTTATCATCTTTTCCAGTCTCCCGGATCAACAGGCCGGTGATCTCGGTACATGCCTCCGTGCGGCGTTCATCGTCCCATCCTGTAATAGCCTCGATATGTCCGTGATCTCCGCTAGTGGCCGAAGTGGCTTCCTCCCGTCTCCCATCAGAGATATCACTTTGGGCCATGTCATATCCAGTGCTCGGAGCAGGCGACGACGAAGTGTCGAAATTTAATGGTTGGAGTAAAAGCTGTGATGACTCGTTCGGGCCCGCCATCTTTGGTGAGGTTGCCAAAGCAGGAGAGAATTGATCAAGGTAGTAGAGATGGTATAGCAAGGCGTAGTTTTGTGATCGCCTCAAGAAGAGAACTTCTCCGCAGCATTTATGCCTTGTGCAGCAAAAGTGGCGGATGGGCGCTTACTTGCAGGTCGATCATTCAGCCTTAACGCCAAGACTTTCTAAAAGATTCCGTAGCACAAGACTGATTAGGCCAATGGCAGTGAAAAGCCCCCAATGACTACTACAACTACGAGGTGGGGTGCGCGATGCAAGGGTCTTAGCAAACTGAGCATATTTCACTACTTATCGATAGCTAGAGTCTTGAATAAAAGCTGATTAATCTTTCTGCTTCTTGATCCTGAAGTCCCAGTTGACTTCCCACTTTACATCCACATCCTTGCCACCAATACTCTTAAGTGAACCAAAGTTGTAAGGCTGGAACTTCAAAAGAAGATCTGATTTAACGGCGTAAACCGAGTCGGAGTCGAGATAAGTATCGTCCTCGGGGAATACCTGCGTAATCAGACGGTTGTAAGAAGCCGTGGTCACCATGAAGTGGATATGACCAGCTCGGTAAGGATGGCGATCCATGAGTTTGAGAATATCTCCAGCGGGACCGTCGTAAGGCACGGGGTAAGGAACTGGCTTGATACAGTAGAAAGAGTATTTCCCTTCTGAATCGGAGGTGAACATGCCGCGCATGTTTCCAGATGGCTGATTGGGATCCTGTTGGTCATACAGTCCGTTGACTGCACACTCCCATACGTTCAGAGATGCACCTGCGGTTTCTATTAGTACGTTTCATGATATAATGTCGGAACGGCCTATCCGAATTACCTGCCACAGGTTGGTCGGTATCGGCATCCAATATTTGACCATGAAAGTATGTTACTTCTCCGCCGAGGTATTTCTGGATGATAGTATCTCCATTCTCATATCGAGGAGGATCAGCGACGTAGAACGGGCCCAGAATGCAAGAGTTGGTTCCGTTATCTTGCTCGAGCATCTTCTGTGTCTGAGCATCGACCAGTCTAGTGTAACAGTTAGACTCAAGAGTACAGGTTTAAGAATACTAGAACATACGCCTCTACGCCAAGGCAGTCGGAGATCAACAAAGTCTCGTTCCTCTCGGCATTACTCATCTGACCAGACCTATTCAAAGCCTCAATGGCAATGTATAGTTCTTCTGTGGTGAGGTTGACTTCACGGCAGAAGGCGTGGAGATACCGGATCAGGCCCGTCAAGATTTCTCGAGCTCTGGGTGAGCTGTTGGGCCCGAAGGAGGAGATGACAGAAGTTGTCAGAGGAGCATCTTCAAGGGGCAACATGTTTGCTTAAGTTCAATGGATGCCTGTTGGGATTCTTGAGAGATGTGATTAAAAAATCAATGTTTGAATTGGGTAAGAAGCATATTTGTGGTAGGATCTATACTTTATATACTTCGTGAGTACCCCAGATGTAGAATCTGGGGCAACACCTCTTTACCCCAGTTTCTCCACACTGACTGGAGTAGTCTAGGTATATGCATCACATAAGCACGGTAATGCTCATCTTCCGGCAAGCAGGAGAGGTTAGACCAGACCTCCAGACTAGTCGGTTGAAAATGCCGAACCTAGAGATCACCGAGCCCGCGAATATGCCGAGCCCGACATCCGATGTCACACGAAAGAACATAAGATGCCATGCTCGGCAATTTCTATAACCCCATTTCCCATGCTCAACACTTTCAGAGTTTCCAGGTTCCTCGTATCCGCTGTAATGAATCGACCGCTGACCAATTCGCAACGTGTGGTCAAACTAGGGGTGAAGAGAAGACGTCCCCCATTGGCCTGTATTCAGTGCTACCAACGAAAGCTCAAGTGCGGAAGAGAGTTTCCAGCTTGCAGTCGCTGCTCAAAGGCCGGAATTGCCGATGATTGTACTTACCGTGGAAACAAAGGACGGGAGACGTCGGTCGATGGCTTATTCGGCGATTGCCCTCCAGGAGGGGCTAACGTGGTTTCGGCATCTACCCGCATAGAGGGTTCGTCAACAGAGACCCTCGATAGTTACGCGACCTCTGCCACCAAGGAAGTCGACATGACACACCTGGAAGGGCAGGGCAACTTTACCAAATTCTACGGGTGTAGCTATCCCCTGAACCTTTACCAGCAGGTATGCTCCCACTTGATTTAGAAGCTGGCATTGTTTTGACTAGACCTAGTTCACCGATCTTCGGCCATACATCGTTAAAATCAAGACCCATTATCCCTCCATCAACACCCTTCGCGATGAGATTTATGCACCATTGAACGACAAACAACAGCGTCGCCAGGCTTTACAGGACGATGCGCTGGCAAGTACTTTGAGACAGCTGATACCCGCAAAGCCAATCATGGATGTCATGGTTCAGACTTATATGGACCGATATGAGATAACGCATCGGATCTTACACATACCGACATTCATCACCAAGTATAATGATTACTGGGCTGATCAATCTAGTACCCCGGTCTGCTTTCTTGTACAGCTGCTTTTAGTCGCTGCTACTGCTGCAAGCTGTCATCCTGAAGTATGTATCGACCTGTTCAGCCACAACACAACTCATGATCACGTTATCAAATGGGTTGAGGCTGCAGAAGCATGGGTCAGTTCTCACTCCAGCCAACCTCCTCGCTCCTGGGACAGCCTCGTGACCCATTGTCTTCTGCTTATTGCAAAGCATGCAAACTTTATCCTGGAGGGTTCCTTCTGGACGTCTACCGGGACCTTAGTCCGATGGGCCATGGCAGCGGGTTACCACCGTGAAGTCATCCTCGCAACGAAAATATCGCCATTTAGTAGAGAAATTCGTCGAAGATTGTGGGCGACAATTGTCGAACTTGATCTCCAGGCATCGATTGAACGTGGAATGCCTCCGAATGTCCGAATAGGAGATTTCAACATCAAATCACCACTGAACGTCGACGATGAAATGCTCGAGGAGTCTATGCAAGACTCTTTAGCCGGTATGCCAGTTGCTACACTGACAAACACTTCTTTCCAAGCGCTTCTCTATGGCTCGTTGCCTGTGAGGCTAAAAATATGCGCCTTCATAAATGGATGTTGCGAAGAGGTCGATTTTGACAAGATCTTAGAACTAGAGGAGGAGCTAAGACAGGCACTCCAAGACATTCCAGCATGGGATAACCCTCAAGCTGATCCACGACAGCACCGAGCCGCGACATACATTAAAAACATGCTAGGTATCGTCCTGCACCAGTACATCCTCTTATTACACTTTCACTTCCTGGTCCGAACTACCTCCTCCTCTAAATCCCTGATTTGTCGACGCGCGAGGTTAGAAGCATCCACGAAAATCCTCGACTATTACCAAAGACTCATAAAAGAGGAGATATTGCCAGAGCAAGCTTGCAGGACGGGTTTAACACTCGCGGCACTGAGCATCTGCCATGATATCTACCTGAATCTCGAATCACGCGGTAAGACTAATTGCTGTCCTCGTTCCATAGAATAACGAATGACTGCTGATATCCGTGAAGCCTGCGATCAATCCACCATAACAATCTTCCCACAACTTTCGGCGTTTCTCATTGAACATGTTGAGAAAGTCTTGGACATTCTTGAAAAACGAATCTCACTGACGTTGAACGGCTTAAACGAATATTATATCCTCAGTATGACTGTTGGGTTACTCAAAGGCAGGTTATGGCCAGAGTCGGCTGCAGAATCGGACAAACAAGCTGGAGAGCGAGTGATCAAACTGTGCAGACTGATGCAGACACGAAAGGCGGCTACTCAACAACACCAGCCACTTCTAGATGTTTGGTAAGCATTTCCTCTTGAGAGGCACTGATTCACCATGTACTGATGAATCATAGTGATGATGAGCTACGTGGGAATCAGCTATCAATTGACGGGAACTATATTGGTTCCGATATCATGACCGATCTCATTAACTCGATTGTAAGCTAATCTGAACTATGCTATGCCCATGACTTTTACTGATGAAAACGACATAGCTTCCTCAGGACTTGGAGTTTATCAACGGGAACCTTGACCTTACCTTCTTTCATGCATAGCTCGATTTACTGGTATTAATTTATTACTCGGAATAACAGTAACAAGGGAGCGCTTCCATTGGTGGAAATTCGGTGATAAACTCAATTCATTAGAAAAGATCGGCACTTACTCTTGAATCACGTCTTTTGCTCCCGAATGATCGAATTGCATTACATGGTGGTACCTAAACTCAATGCAGTAGCATATCCGCTGTCAAACCCTTGAAGATGATAGGATCGCATCCGCTCATCTCGGCACATCTGACACCGAAGTGGGAAATTAAAGCATGAGCACATCGCGAATTAATATGGCAAAATAGAAATAAATGCCTATATAATCTTAGGCACCCTTCCGAATACTCGTGCCCGAGAGTCAGCAATATTTCTCTTTCGAAGAACAAAATGCGAAGTCTCCTCCTCTACCCTGTCCTGGCCGCTTCCGCCATGGCCGAAAAGCTTCTCTACAGAAACACCTTCAACAGCACCGATGCAATCGCAGATTGGGTCGCCGAAGGGTCCGTCAAAGCGACCGTCTCCAACAACACTCTCGAACTAGCTGCCCCAGGCGACTTTGTCTACTGGGTCCCCGAAGTCTTCCCCGAGCGCATCCGGATCACCTGGGACTTTTCGCCCATCGAAGAACCAGGCCTGGCTATCATATTCTTCGGCGCAGCAGCCGCCAAAGACGGCGGAAGCATTTTCGACAAGGATCTAAAACCCCGAAATGGATCTTACCCGCAGTATCACTCGAGCGATATCCGCACGCTGCATGCTTCGTATTTTCGACGTCGATGGCCTGAAGAAAGGGCTTTTCATCTTGCGAACTTGAGAAAGTCGCCTGGATTCCATCTGGTTGCGCAGGGGGCTGATCCGCTGCCGAATGTGGAAGATACTCAGGGCGCTTATTACAAGGTTGAGGTCATTCACGACAAGCGCGATGTCAAGTTTTCGATCAATGGATTGGAATTGTTCTCGTGGGAGGATGTGGATCGGTCGACTGGGCCTGTTGTTCGTGGTGGACGGATTGGTTTCAGACAGATGAATCCTCTTGTTGCTCGATATCGCAACTTGGAGGTGTGGAAGCTTTAGAGGCTAGGTCTATGGCTTCTATGATTAGGTAGACAGATACGGGTTGCATTACTACTTTGACGTCGACAAAAGATATCAGACGCCTCTAAGTTGAGAATCCTCCAGAGTTGGCCTGTCTAGGCTCACCAGCAGCTTCAAATGTCCCATCGAGTAACCTCCTTAAAGCCTGGGCAGTGCTCTGCCCAGGCGCAACCCACGTAACATTATTACCAATCTCTTTCAAATAAGCAGCCGTTGAGTTATCGTAAGCATATTCGAACGTGACTTGTCGCGGCTCAAGCTGATCATGCAGACGAGGCGCAGCCAGCGCATCATGAACAGTCATGTTTCTCTCTAGTGCATTTAGAACCACCTGGACAGTAGCTGTGATGATACGACTACCACCAGCAGATCCAGTCACCAAAGAGACCTTTCCATCGGGTCCTTCGACAATAGTGGTGCTTATACTAGAAAGAGGGCGTTTTCCAGGTCTGATGAAGTTGGCCTCGCTGGGGATGAATCCGAAAGCGTTTGACTGTCCGGGGATACTAAAGTCGTTCATCTCGTTGTTCATGATAACGCCAGTCTCGGGAACAATGACTTGCGAACCGAAGCCGAGGTTGATCGTCGTCGTGAGGGAGATGGCAAGTCCTGAATTATCCATGGTAACGATATGTGAAGTTCCGGGTGTGTCTAGGCTTTCAAGACCTTTGGGGTCATAATCCTTAACTGCAAGAGCACGCCCGTCTAGTTTTGCGCGAATCTCCTGTGCGGTATCGTTGGAGTACATCTGAGATTGATACTCAACCAGACCCTTGACAAAGGTTGGATCACCGAGATTACTTCGCATTCCGTAACCGAACTTGAATGCTTCGTCGAGCAAATGAGCACTGTCGTTGACTCTTCTAGGATCACCGAGGAAGTCATAACCGTCGAGGATGTTCAACGCAGCTGCGACGACTGCACCGCTTGAAGGGGCCGACCCGCTGGTGACCTTTCCACCTCGGTAGTTGATCTGGGAAGGCTCGCGAATGGCCACAGAATAGTTCTTCAGGTCATCCGTCGTCATGATACCCTTCTTCTGCTTCAAAGTCCTAATGGTCGCATCGGCAATGGGTCCCTCGTAAAATGCACCGGCTCCCTTGGCAGCGATAGTCTCGAGTGTATCGGCATATCTCTTCCGCGTGAGCTTCTCGCCGAATTTGAGTAATCTTCCAGCAGGTGCAAAGTCAATTGCCCATGCGGGATCGTTAAACAAAAAACTTTCGTTCTCGGCCTTGCTGTACGTCATCTTCATGAACTTGAGAGTATCGTTGTTAACTGGAAATCCGTAGCGGGCGACGTCAATTGCTGGCTGGACGAGCTTCGACCAAGGCAGATGACCATAGCTCTTGTGCAAATGCTCCAGACCTCGTAATTCACCGGGTACACCACTGAAAGGCCATTAGATCGCGCCAGAAATGCTAGAGAGGGTTTCGTACCTGGCCTGTCCACCATATATGCTGGCGTTCACGTTATTCTTGAACATGTTTTCTGTAGCTGCTGCAGGAGCCGTTTCGCGAAAGTCGACAAATTCGTAGGGCTCGGTTTTATTCTTGCCATCGGGTTTGTGAATGAGCATAAAGCCGCCGCCTCCGATTCCAGAATGATACATGCCTGTACCTGTCTCAGCGAAATGTGATCAAAATAGCATGGTTGACTCACCGACTGTCCCCACGCAAAGAACGGTGGCGACCATCGCATCAGCTGCGTTGCCGCCCTGTCTCAGAATATTGATGCCAATTGTCGAGCATATCTCACTCTCACACGCAACAGCCCCGCGGCTGTTGCTGAATTGCCTAGTCTCTACTGGTTTCGTCTGAGGAGGGTATTTCACATCGCACGGCTGGCCATGTCCTTGTGCAATCAGGCTCAACAGAGCAACCCAAGTTGGAAAGCGAGCCATGGTCAGCAATTGACTTCAGTGTGCCCACTAAGTTAAGTGCTTGGAAGAGGCGCATCGCTCGCTTTTGTAGCTCAAGATCGCCATGACGATCGTCATCACCAAAGGTGATGTTTACTCCGCTTAGATAATAGTTACTCCGACCAAGGTTACATGCAGGATAGTCTCGCTAGGGGAGGAAAGAAAATACAGGAACTTGATCCTAAATGACAAAAAGACTTAGGTAATATAGCCTAAGCTTAGGATAACTTTTGCTGAGTTTATTTTAACACCCCCTATTAAGGTTCGCTGTTTTCTTGCCCCCCGAGGTCTCGATAAGAGGGTGTAACCCAACATCGTAATCTTGCTGATGTTCAAGGCGGGGTATTAGTCGGCAGTGATAGAGCTAAGCCGTTGAAGTAGGGATCAGCAATCGCTGAGAGTTTTTAAACCTTGGGTTTTTAGCCAGCTTCCTAATAGAGCTTTTGAGCTGAAATGAATTAGTCATGGTGCAGGAATGACTTCTGGCGACGAGGCATTTCTACCGCGGTGGATATGCCGTGCGACTCTTGACCGAAATCAATCATGAGAAACAACGCCGACCCTTGGCATTGTAATACATCTCAACCACATCTCAGTACAATTTGACATCTCTCTCCTCATATTGGCCCCGCATCGCCTCGCCATTCATGATCCCGTGGATATAACATTCTCCCACCAATCGATGTGCATTCAGCAATCGCTTCCCCTTCCTCAAAACAAATGGCACTGCACCACCGTTGAGAACAGATATCTCATCGCCAGCTTCTGCCAGGAGCGGCACGAGACCGACCATTCCCTTCTCCGTCTTGGCAATCTGGTATACAGTATAGCAAGAGTATAAGGCCTGGTAGCACGGAAGGCCTATAATTGCAACAAGTTGTTCTTTGGCTTCCTCGGGAGGCGATGATAATAGGATATTGCACAAGGCAGGTATTATATGCCATTTAGAACGTAGTCCGATTGCAAAATCTGAAGAGACGGGACTGAATCCCTTGGTCTTGTTGGCCACCAGCATCCGCCACCATACATCTTTGAATAGCTCACCAGTCACATAGGAACCAGAGGTCTCTTCGAGCTCTGCGATGGTGTCGTAAGATTGTTGAAGACGACGTATCAGGCCGTGTATGGGGCCGTGTTTGACGTGGTCACCGCCGACCCAGCTGAGCTTGTCGACGAACCTCCCTCGAACTGCAAGACAATCGTCCTTTGGGTCATCACTAACCCACGGCTCGCACTGAGTATCGCCAGCGGCGGCATACAATCCGCCACTGTGCAGCCCCAAGCTGCTATAGTCGATTTCATCGCCCATGAAAACAAACTTGGTGGTCCAATCAGGGATCCAGGATGGGAACCGCGAGGATTGAATGTTTAATCGAGCTTGGTACAAGAGGTCCATACACTGCCCCCTGCGAACAAAAGCTTTACCGAAGCGCCTCACTACCTCGTCAAATGTACAAGAGTAGTCTGCCCAGAAAAGGTCATGGTCAGTTGCGCTAGACAGACCAAATACTGCGAACAGATGATCGCGAGCTCTTGTAGCTTTGCTCCTGTCACATAGCGCAAGGAGATCAAGAAGAGGTACTTCCACCCGTAGCCTTAGGTTATGATCCATCTTTCTCGCAAGGTTGAACTCCTCTTGTTCTTGAAATACCATCGTGTTCAAATTTATGGTCAACATTCGCATACTATCGGCATCTGAGGCGGGTAGCGACTCCAACAGTGCAGATTGCCGGTACTCGCACATCATGTGCATAGCTTCCGTTCCCATGTGCTTTGCGGCATTATCGAATGCATTCGGTATATCTGGAACAACCGAGAAGGAGGACGTCATGTATGCGTCGACCGTAGCGACGTAGAACACAGACCAACTGACTTCCCATCCGCCGCAGAACATGCGGACATCAGGAGAGAGGACGAATTCCTGAATCACCCACACACGCCGAAACCATGGCCTCGCCCAGAGCTTGGCTAATGCCCTCCATGCAGGATCCTCTAGGCCAGGAAGTCCATATTCTTCGAACATCACCCTCATTGGAGGCGACATCGATCCAATATGTCTCAACATCTCCATTCCATGTCTCCCATATAAACGGTAGAGGGAAGAACTAGCCCTGGCGAATCGGGTCAACAGCTCTCCTACTACTTCACTTCCATTGGCCTCACAGCCCAAATACACCAGTGTGCAGGCGGCAGATGCATAGATCTCATCCATTAATGCCACCTGACTTGCCTTCTCCGCGTTGTCTGACTGGTTAATACACACCGCATCCGCCCATAGCATGCGGGGCTCTTCTTTCAATCGAAATCGATGCAATGCGTGAAATAGAGACGGCGTAATAAGAAGAGTACCGCGCCCTGTTTCTAATTTGTTTGTTGTATGACCATCCTCCCAAGCGTACGAGACTGCTTCATACTTTCCGATTACATCCGCGTCCAACGAAGCATGTAAAATCTCAGTTTGTAGAGGGTCATCGCCAGAGCCGGGATGCAGCTTAATCAGGCGGATTTCACTACTGTCAGAGCTATTCGACAGGGGCATGTACGTGTATTGCTCTCGGGTCGAGGCACGAACGAAGAATGCATAGAATGCCTTGTAGACAGTGCGACCGATACGGAAGAAAACAACGGCGATCTGGAAGTCATTTGAGCTGCCGAGACTACCCATCCATCGGCGGGCGGGCGGGAGCACATAGCGAACGAACAATGCTCCAAGTCCGGGAATGAAGAAGGGCTCATCCCTTAGCAATACTCGTACAAGTCGCTCGCGTACCGAAGGAAAACCAAGAAAAAAGAGCATCATCATGATGGAGGCATATGTATCGATAATGAAGCCAAGATAGGGACCCAAGAAGGGTCTGAGCAAAGCGAGCGCGACGCTGAGGATTGACATTGTATGCTGAGCCTGGCTATTGAGTTATATAAGTATCCCGAATCAAAAGAGGATATCATTACTCACATCTTCCTTTGACAATTCTTAGGTGGGGATATACGCTAGAGTCGGTGCAGAATAATTACTGCCATATCTAAAAACTTATTCTTGATATTGGATGTTGGAATAAAATGGCACAAAAGCCAAAGCCTGATAAGGCGCACGGATGTAAATGTGCCAGGCCCTCAGGGAGCAAGAAAACATCAGACGTTGATACAGTTGTCAAAATAAACTGACCGAAAGCTAGTCTAAGTTTAACCTTAACTTATGCTAAATTACCTAAGTGTTTTTGTCATCCTGGACCAACATCCTGACTTTTCTTTCCTCCCCTCTATAGCAGGCCTCCAATCTGAACCACTAATGCAAAGGGTGGATTTAGGCAGTATCACTAGGGTAGGTCCCAATTCTGCCTTACCGCAGCTTTAGTGAAGACCTGCACTCTCGTGCAACAGACCAATTGACTTAAAGTGCAACTCTTGGTCCTATGATCATTCTTGCATCGAACTTGGGCACCAGAAAGCATTTGCCCCATTCCTCGTCATCATCGAAACCTCTCCCGAGTCTTGTCGCTCCGCGTATAGAACTAGAGTCCTTCAGCATGGAGTAAACATTAACTAACCCCTAAGTTATAGGATCTTTTGAGATTTCTGATGCCGGGAGTAACTATACGACTCCGAAAAAACCAATTGGAAAGTTTGGTCCAGAGCTGCAGCGACACTGATGATCTCGATCAATTGGAACAACTTATTTAGGCTGCGCGATAAGTCTTGGAAGTAACGGCCGAAATTCATAATTTATTACACACTCTGGCCGGCCTGGGCCCTGTACATGAGATAAAAAGATGTGGTGATAATTTTGGTGATCATGAAGAAGCGATGAAACTCGAACGCAAAGCAATCGAGGCATCACCCCAGATTCCATAGACCCCCAGAGGTTTTCGTCCTGGTTGACACTACAGTTAGGAGACTCTTTCTATCACATGGGAAACACTGATGATCTAGATGAAGCTATCGGATTGATCCAGGTTTTGCTGGAAAGTCTCAACAAGAAATCGCCAATGAGGGCCGCACATCTGGCTAATCAGGGAATCTTGCTCAAGGTGAAGTATTCTGTTCTCAGGGTCGAAAACGACTTTGAAACGTGCCCGCGAAAATCCAGAGATCCACTGCATTGTTTCAGAGGATTAGAGCATTATTAAGATATGGCTTGAGAAGTTGGGCGAACTCGTACGATGCGGACTCGTACGATGCAAAACACGGCAATTTAGCGAGACTAGAGAACCTCGAAACTTTTGTCGTCTATTAATAGACTGGCTATTTGCAACGACAGATGATTGTGAACGGGACAGGCGACCTAGAAGAAGCAATCGATGCCGTCAAACGATATCTTGAGAAGGTTAATAAGGAGCATCACCTTGGTCAAAACAGCTCAGTAACTACTCCAATGACCTTGATTCTTTCCATGGTAGAACTGGGGATTTTGCCAATTTGGAGGAAGCTGTTGAACTTGCAAGAACGGCTCCCGAAGTAGTACCGAGTAATTGCCTTCCAAGGTACTTTCAGTTGCATAAACTGGGCCCTTTGCTTCCTAAGAGGATTTTGAGGAACCAGGAGAATGAATTAGATCCAAACTAAAGGATTTTATTATTGAGGGAAGTGCTTTGAAAGGTCGAGGACCCTAAATGGCTGGAAGTGTTATTTGCAGTTGAGANNATTCCGGCAGAGAGAACCGAGTACCCTGAATCTTCCCTGATAAAGAATACTTTACGTATCAAACTTTCTATTCTATTTTATATCTCTTTCATGATATCATTAGCATCTTACTTTGCTTTCTATCTATAGAGATTATTTTTGGGATGTTGTCCTGGTCTAGGTCACACGACAATGGCCGACTCTCGGACCCACAGTTGCCGTTCTACCCGTGCTCCCTGCAGCGAATCGACAATCAGCCTATGAAATCATCTCCCGGCAGACTACGGAGAACGACAGAGGCTTAACTGCCGGTGAACCAAAGCCATACCGTCACGACTCCTTCCATGAAGCCAATCACAAGTCATCCCATAAGCGGAGAAGGAAGATTCCGGGTCCGATACGTATAAGCCTGACCCTGTGTACCTTGATAAAATACAAACATAAACAACCCGCGACCCCAGGTTCTTGCAATCTAAACATCGTCAATTGTTGAACGTGAATCGAAAAAATGAACAAGACTTCTCACACCGATGAACCCTTTGAGGGCGATGACGGCTACAACCAGAGCCCGAATCCAAACTCTAGCGACTTGACTACCAACGCTGACTTCAACGGGCTCGTCAACAGTCGGGTCAGTCTCCAAGGCGACTCTGGTGCACTCCCGGACGCAGCGTCAAACATGTCTGGCCAGATAGCCAACAACACTGCCACCGAGACGCCCGGCCATGGAAAGGCGAAGCTGCGGCTGGCTCATCGGTCAATCGACCATGGCCAGCCCTCAGGCGGTCTGCGCTCAGCACCCGCCAACCCCCCGCCAGCAGCAGCTGGTTCCGCCGACAACGGCGGCACGCCACTTCAGCGTCTCAAAGACACCCTCGCCAAGATTGGATCTTTTATTGGGCCTGGGTTCATGATCTCGGTTGCGTATATCGACCCGGGCAATTACTCGACCGACATCGCCGCAGGAGCTTCCTACCGCTTTCGGCTCCTCTTCATTGTCTTGCTTTCAAATGTCTTCGCGGTATTCCTGCAGAGCTTGGCGATAAAGCTGGGCACTGTGAGCGGACTTAATCTTGCACAGGCTTGCCGGGCGTTTTTGCCTCGGTGGTTGAATTATGTGTTATATGTCTTTGCTGAGGCGGCTATCATTGCTACTGACATCGCAGAGGTAAATAAATCACTTGCCATTTCCCCATATTTGCGTTAAAAAAGGAAAACAAAAAGTGCTGACTCACTAGGTCATTGGATTTGCAATTGCCTTGAACCTTCTGGTCCCCGCGATCCCGCTGGTGGCAGGATGTGCTATTTCCATCATCGATGTCATGGTCCTCCTCGTCTTCTACCGCCCTGAAGGATCTATGAAGGGTTTACGGTACTTCGAAATGTTCATCATGTGTCTCGTGCTCGGCGTAGTTATTTGCTTCTGCATTCAGCTATCTTTGATCAAAGATACCACCCCTGGGGAGGTCTTCCAAGGTTATCTGCCATCCAAGTATCTCATCGAGTCTGAAGCGTGAGTTCTGATCCACATCCTTCTACTTTGTTGCGCTCGCTCTAATTACCTGTCCAGCATTTACCAGGCCTGTGGCATCCTGGGTGCGACGGTCATGCCTCACAGTCTGTATCTTGGATCCGGCATTGTTCAACCCCGTCTGCGTGAATATGATGAACGGAGCGCTCTGTTGCCTCGTCAGGTCACTTCAGAACCCTCCGTCATCGACAGCAGCATCGACAAAGGCTACTACGTGCCGTCTGAGAAGGCAATCAAGCACTCGCTCAAGCTTTCGATTCTTGACTTGTCTGTCTCTCTCTTTACATTCGCGCTTTTTGTCAACTCAGCTATTCTCATTGTTGCAGGCGCGTCGCTGTATAACAATCCAAATGCTCGCGACGCGGATATCTTTGGCATTCATAAACTACTTTCCAAGACTATTTCACCTACTGCAGGCACCATATTTGCCCTAGCACTGTTACTCTCAGGAGTTTCAGCTGGAATCGTTTGCACTATTGCTGGTCAGATGGTTAGCGAAGGCGCCTTAAACTGGAACGTCAAACCATGGCTGCGCCGTCTTATAACTCGGAGTATTAGCATTACCCCAAGCATTATCATCGCAGGAGCCGTCGGGCGTGAGGGGCTTAATGCAGCACTCAATGGATCGCAGGTGGCTCTCAGCATTATCCTGCCATTCGTGACCGCACCTCTTATTTACTTCACCTGTCGTGACAAATACATGACGGCCCGGCCAGGTAGTGCGCGCTGGCGCACTGGTGACATGGATGATGAGACAGAAGCAGAGGGGATAATCGAAGAGGGAGACGGACAACGAGGTCAAGGCGTCAAGATGACCAACTCGTGGTTTACCATGATTCTGGCTATTCTGATCTGGCTTTTCATGGCAATCATGAACGTGGCCAACTTGGTATTCCTTGGCAACTAGGGAATCCCACAAAACATAGTCGCTTGGTGAGAAGCAACTATGTCATCACGTTTTTAGTAGGGGAGTAGAGCTTGTCCGTAGAGCTTTGATGAATGTATCAAAGGGGCTCAGTGAGGAAAATGCCGGATTGGCCTTCTGGCCAAAGTTTGTTGAGCTCCTTCAGCATATAGTTATCAAAATTCCAAGGGACAGAGCAAGAATTTCCCTAATTACATCCGATACTTCACTGATCTGATGCAATTCTTGCACAATCGATGTCTTTGCCCCATGTGAAAATCAGCTTGTTCTTAATGTATACCCATTCAAGACAGCAATAAGAGATTGATATAGTAGTGCCATAGCCAATACATTTCCTTCAGCCTCAGTTCTGATCCCAGACACCACTTTCATCGACGACGGAGGCAGGGTTGACGTCGGGTGTGTCAAGATAACCCTCGGCCGGTACTCTATTGAAAGCCAGAGATAGGCATTGCGTTGGCATCGCAGGAGTTACGTATGGAGCTATAAGAGAAGGTGGGATGATGGTTCTGTTCTGTTTGCCAAAGATTACATGATGCTATGGGCAAGTTGACATAGTTGGCTGCATAATTGGACTAGAGGAGGGAATGACTAGTGCAAAGAGATGAGAATGTGATCAGGGATAGTATTTCCGGTGATGGTGGTGAGGGGATCAATGATGTGGAGTTCCTGGCTTATCGGGTTTCTTATGTTCACTTTGATGTTTGAGGGACTCTTGCCTCGAAGTTCCAATGCTTATGTTGATACTTTATGTCAGAGTTAGAATACTACTTAGGTCCCAATACTGGATAATGTTGTGCTGAGTCAAAATCAA